GTCCATAAGTGATACATTGTGGAGTTAATTTCTTTTTACAAAAGAGGAGCTGCATAAATAAAAATTGCAAAAACAGAATCAACTCAGAAGTGTATGACATAACTTGAGTTGGATGATAATTTGCTCTCCCCAGCTCTCTACCCTTTCTAAAATCTTCAGCCAACAGGGAGTTGAGCTGGTCACAAATCACCTTTAAACTGGCTCCACAGCATGGAATGTCACTCTGACATGAAATCAGCTGAATAGCTCAGTTCAACCTCAGCAGCTGTCTCAAGCTAAAATTTTTTATTCGTGTATTGCATCACTTACACTGATTCAGAGTCACTGCACACAGCTGTAATGACCCAAGGTGTTACTGTCCTCTCCTGAAGTTACTGCCTCCACAACTTTGCTGCCAGAACAAATCATCTGCAAACTCCTAAGCTATTTCATGCAAAGGTGCGTGGTGGATTAGCTCAAGTTACACTCAATAGCACTCCGTGCTCTTGGCTGACATTGCATGGAGTGAACAGGGGAGGTTTCTCATTTTCTGGTCTCCTAGCTCAGTAACAAGAGCAAGAAACTTAATTGAAGTCTAATAAACTAATAGTTTAGAAACCCAGAAACATCTAATCTACCAGAAATGACTTTGCAGTAATTTTTCTTACTGCAGCCTGAAATGGTGCTTTAGAATTTGTAGGATAAGTGAACTGGTTTTGTTACCCAAGAACACGGGGTTCTTCCACAAGGCCTCTTCATCAGTGGAGAAACACACCTTTTCTCAAGATACCTCACTTCTCTGAAGAATAGATTAAAAATGTTTCCCTAACTTTCTGTATCCTTAGAAAAATGCTTCCCCCCAGCAGAAGATGGCATCTTTCTTTCCCATCATGTAAGAAACATAACACATCAAAAATAAAGATTTAAACTGTGCTGAGCATTTCTATTCACAGACTCCATGAGGGATGTTCCTTGAGAGATCTTATAGACCACTCTGCTCCCTACACACACGTGCTAAAGAATCTGCTGTCACTTTGAGCTCATGCACACCCCAGGGAATTTTTACAGTCAAAACACACCTGCACTTCAGTTACATAAGCAACATCTGCATTATTCATCTACAGAGATTTAAAAACTACTTATTATGGTGACATTAATTAAAAATAATAAAGAAAAGGCACATATCTGCCAAGAATGACCTACCCATGAATATGGCAATGTGTAAAAGGAGAATTATTATGGCTTACACTCATAAATATGACCCATCAGCCCATCAAATCCTGGAATTTAGATTACTTTGTACTTTAAAAACATCTAAGCCTCACAGTGTAGGCAGAATATGTAAGTTTGTTGCTTCTATATTAAGAGCAGGTAAACACGAACAAATAGGTGGTTTGGAGTCAGACACAGTCAGTTAATCTTAAAGGAGAGGGAAAAAGAAGAAAGCCTCCAGACTTTGAGTTCTGTTTTAACTATTAGCTTTGGCTGCACTGAAATTGATGGCAATATGATTTTAACTACTCTTAACAAGACAGCTGTTTCACTTTTACACTTTGTCCAAGCTCACACATGATTTTGGGACCCAATGACTTTTTATCCATGAACCTCAACCCCCCCCCCCCCCCCCCCCCCGCTTTGTTTTAAAAGGATCAAATGGGAATATTTTTATCTCACCATGTGGTTAAGAAATGTTTTGGCTTTCTCAAATTTGCCTGAAGTTGGTCAGAGGGTACCTTGAGGATCTGTTCAGTGATGTAAGGCTCCCCTGAATGACATTCCCTGTTTGGGTAGGCAGCAGTGAGTTGTTGTCCATCACCACAACCATCTTCCAACTCAGACACATCCTCCATTTAATCTCTGCCCCATCTCTGACTGACTGTAAAATTATCACATCAGTGTCCGTTTAGACTTGTTTATAAGTGGTAGCAGCTGTTAATATCTCTTCTGTAACAACTATTCCACAATGGCCAGCTTGCATAGACGGTTTTATTTCACATGTGGGGTGACTTTGTGCAGCTTAGTTGAGTCTGAGGTAAATCAAGCTAAACCCAAAAAAAAACATTTTTAGAGTAGAAAAAGTGTCCACAAGCCAAGTCAGTGCAGAATAGCTTTTGAACTTTAAATTCACACCTAAGTTTATTTCACAACACCTTCACTTAACAAGTACTTAACAAAAGAGACAGGAGGGATATGTGTGTGTGTGTGTGTGTGTGTGTGCATGACCATAAAAGTTAAACAGCAGACTACAGATGATTGCTGCAACTACCTCCAGGATAACCTTGTTTGTAGAGGAAACACAGCCACCCTGTGCCAAGCAAGAGAAAACAGGGTTGTACAGAGATTTTGAAATACTGTTTTATGTGTTTGGGTTAAGGGCCTTGGGGTTTTTTCCATACTTTTATCAAACACCAGATGTTGTATTGTCATTATACTATATAATACGGGTGTAAAAATATTTGTACATGTGCCAATATACAACATATTTTTGTCTTCCCTCACTTTCCTTTTAATTATTACTAGTCATTGAGATACATGACTTCTAAATGAACAGGAAGTTCTCCAGTAATACATTACATAATGTGTTCCTATTTGCTCATGTAGTGATCTGTGACATTGTTTTCTAAATGAATTATTTTTGTAATTGTGCTGCTCTTTTCTTGCACAAGTAGGAGGCAAGTCAGTGCTCATTCTCTTGAACACAGGCCTCCTACACACAAGATGTGCCCATTTGAAACTCTGAAGATGATTTCAACCCTGATGACTTGCTTTCAGTGCATTACACCCGCAATCACTGCACCTGTAACGAGGTCAGATGATACAAGTTGGGGGAAAAAACATATGGAAGTATAAATCCCCTTATTAACATACATAGTTCTTCCCTCTCTAGACTATTCCAGTTCCAATGATGTTATTTCAACTAATGTGAAATGCAAAGTTTTGTATATTATGGTGGAACAAATATAAGATATTACAGTGCTATGGGTCAAGCTACAACAGAAAGGTTTTGCCTGCCTTTATGTGAGAGGCAGAGTACGAAGTCATCAGCATCATCAGTTTGGAAGAGTTTTTCCAGGTTGAAGCAATCACTTCACAGTAATTGCCACCAACTCAGTGGCCACTTCGAAGACCTGTCTGTCCTTATAGCACAGTGAATCACTACAACATAGGGCGAGTACACAGAGTAATCATGTCAGGCAGTACGACGACCTAAGCCTCATCCCAGGAAAGCTTTGGGTCTTGCTACAACATGTTTTCTAAGGAAAAAAACATCTTCATCTCTATTCAAGCACAGAAATAGCACACATATAGTAAATACATTATACTGCACACAACAGCAACTTCAGTGGAATTTTAGGAATAGCTATCAAACAACCCTGTATCGCAGCAATGAACAAAATCTCATCCACTGGAACATGTGAGGAGCAAAAGTCTCTCAGTGTTACACGAAGAAACTGTGCCCTCATAAACTGTAAATGCCTTCTCCCAGTACCTCAGTTTAACAAGGCTGTGAAAAACACTAATCACTTGTTTTTAAAATTTTAAAAGTTTGATAGGAATAAAATGGTTGTAAAAATAGTAATGCAATCAGAGTAATAATCATTTGGACAATTTGAATTAGGACAATATGAGATAATAGAAACAAAGAGTTACGGACATCCTAGTACCTTTTTCTGGGCAGCATAAGCCTGAAAAAGGACACCCATTAACAGAGGATTAACCCTTAAAAGCAATAGCCCGTTGAATATTCATACATCTCATACATGATGCATAAATTCCATTCAAACAAAGGATTCGGTCTGGTCATCGTCAGTTTCTTCCTCTTAATCCTAACGGCTCTTCGGTCCTGAGCAAGGCAGGAATAAGTTAGTTTCTTCTGATAAGAGAACAATAAATTCTTTTTCTCTGAAAGATTTAGGTGTCCTGTAGCTGGTATCTGGTGCAAGTACCTCATTCCTTTCTTAAAAAAATATCCCACTTACATAGTTCCTATTTTAACTACAAAAGTTACCTTTTAACTACAAAACTACATTTACCATACTATTAAAATGTTAATGCAGCGCTACAAATCATTACAACAAAATACATATAGTAAATATCTGTGTAGAGCCATATAACATGCACTTTTCACAAAGGCCAAGTGTCGAGTCCTGCACTTGGATTACAGCAACCCCATGCAGCACTACAGGCCTGGGGAAGAGTGACTGGAAAGCTGCCTGGAGGAAAAGGACCTGGGGATGCTGGTTGGCAGTGGAAGGAACATCAGCCACTGTGTGCCCAGCTGGCCAGGGAGGCCAGTGGCATCCTGGTGTGCATCGGCAGCAGTGTGGCCAGCAGGAGCAGGGCAGGGATTGTCCCCCTGCACTTAGCACTGGCAATGCCGCACCTTGAGTCCTGTGCCCAGTTTTGGGCTCGTCACAACAAAAAAGACTTTGAGATGCTGGAACCAGAGATCCAGAGAAGGGCCATGGAGGTGGTGAAGGGTCTGGAGCACAAGTGTGATGAGTGGCTGAGGGAGCTGGGGGATTTTATCCTGAGGAAAAGCAGACTTGGTGGGTGGAGAACTTTATTGCTCTCTACAATTACCTTGAAGGAGATTGTAGTTGCATGAGGATTGGTCTCTTCTCCCAGGCAGCTAGAAACAGGACAAGAGGAGATGGCCTCAAGCTATGCCAGAAGAGGTTCAGGTTGGACATTGTGAAGAATTTCTTCACTGAATGGTTTATTAAGCATTAACTGGAATCTGGCTGCCTGGGGAAAGGGTGGACTTGCATTCCCTGAAGGTGTTCAATGAACCGTATGTGGCACTTAGTGTCCTATCTAGTAGACAGGGTGTTCAGTGAAAGGTTGGTCTCGATGCTCTTGGAGGCCTTTTCCAACCTTAATGATTCTGTGTGATTGTGCGATTCAGGGGACATCCTCCCACAGCGCCTCACACCGCCATAGCCGGGCTACGGCCATCGCCGCTTTAAGGCTGGGCCTCCCCGGCGTTTCCCTGTTTAAGGTCGGCGCGCGTGCGCGCGGGGCCGGGCCGGGCCGGGCCGGGCGGTCTCTGGGGCGGTCTCTGGGGCGCTCGGGTCGGCTCAAGGTGAGCGGGGGCTGCGGGCGCTGAGGGGATGCAGCGGTGCCGGGGGCGAGCCGCAGTTCGGCCAGGGAGGCGGGTGCTTGGTAGAGCTCGTACTCCCCTTCCCAGGAGTCGTATCCTCAGGCATTAGTACCTTCTCGCTGCGGGGCAGGTGGGAGCACAGGTGCGGAAGAGGTCGGGAGAGGCTGCTAGCATTGCCCGGTCCCTGGAACGCGAGCTGGAATTGACCTTTACTGAGCCCCCTGATCACAGCGCGTCCCGGGGCGGTGGAGCCGTTCCTGGGGAGAGGAGCCCCTGCAGCCCCGGACCAGCCTGTAGGACTGAGCCGCCTTACAGGACTGAGCTCCCTGTGCTGCCTCTCTGGGTTCTCTCCTGGGCTGCTCTGTCTGCGGCTTCTGAATCTGGTAATGACCCGTCTGCAGGGCTCTCTCCAGGGCTCTTCCACCTCTGGCAGCGCTGCTTTCTGCCTTGGTCTTTGGGCGTACCTGACAGCCTGGGTAGTCACTAGGCTCTCTGAGGGGCTCTCACGTGGGAGCCTGCAAACGGCATTATCGCCTTCTCAAAAAACCCATCGGGTGATGCTCCTGCCACCGTGGGAGCAATCTGCATTCCTTACGTGAAATTTTGCCAAGAAGGAATAGGCCTTTTGTATATAGACCATATACAGATATGGTATTTTAAACAGTTTTCAGCAACTCTAACACAGTGCAACTACTTTGTGGAGAAAAAAAAAAGTTCAAGATATGGTACCTAAAAGCTTTTAGGGTTTTTTTCGCACCTGAATCTGAAAAAGTAAAGTTTATACAGTCCTATTGTATGTAGATATTAATGAGTATGCTTACTGGAACTTTTGATTTGTAGGTCAGTGAAATCTGATAAAAAGCTGAAAGATATTAGGCTTCTTGGGGATATAAAAAAAAGAGATGCCTGGATCAAGATCCTAATACTATTGTCTTTCTTTCTCATCTGCTTCTTGGAGGAAAGATTGGAGCCTGCCCTCAACACTTATACTGTGTAAGAAAATCCACATGAAGAAAACACTATGAGAGAGATTTCCCATCAGAAAATTCAATGATGAAACATGTAACATTAGGAAATCTAAGTTCATTGGTTCAATTCATAAAAGTACTTAGCTTTTTATGGCATGTATTTTTCTCCATTCATGACAGTTGGTATTGATTCTGGCTTACCATTAATTAGCATTCATCAAATGTAGGACTCCTTAGTGGAGCTGGTGGAAACTTTGATACTTAATCCATTACATTTGCTTTTCCATTTCCATTTACCTCACCTTGCCAGTTACAGTTGTCTCTTCTTGTTTTTTAACCAGTCATTCCCACCTCAGTTTGCTTGGTTGTCTCATTCATTGTTCCCATTTGCTTCAGTTCTCTCTCCCCGTTCTGTTTTGCCCTTCTCTGTTTTACTGGCCATTAAGTTACTGTTCTTGTCATGTTCCTCTGTTCTTACTGATTTCTAGTCCCAGCTCTTCCCATCTTTTCTTCCTGCATGTTCTTCCTTCAGAGTCATTCTTGAAATTTCTTTCCTTGAGTTTCCTTTGAGGATCCTTGCTCCAGCCATTTTGACATCACAGTTTCAGAGGACTTCCAGATCTTTTTCTCTGTTTAGATGCTTGCCTTCTTCCTCCTTGTTTCTGGGGCCTGATATAGGACTACCTGTTCTTCCTTTTGCTTTTTAACTGAACTGCATCTGGCATGGGCTGTAATAACTTGGAAGCAGGTGACTTGTTTTGGCAAAGAGTATAGGCAGTCACAGAAACAAGAAGTTCTGGGAACCAAGCCCAGGGCAAACAAACTGGAGCATTTTAGCACTGAGAAATTTATTTAACTTTTTGAAAGGAGTTGGCACGTGTCTCTGAAACAGTGGGGAAAGAAAGGCAAGGGGAGAAGTAAAACTGGGCTGAAACGTGCTTGAGACTCCCCTGAAGATGCTGCTGTTGTGCTGGTTAATGCTCCTGATCTACTCCTAGGGTGGATCAGGTGATTGGCATAGCACAATGATATTAAAACTTGGAATTTTTACTCTATTTGATTTAAGGAGTTAAACCAACTCAGATTGATTTTTTTCTGGACAAGCTAAAAAATAATAATTGTGTTGTCTTTTTAAAAAATAGTCAAAAACATCGTGCACACTGGCACTATGTGTGTGTTGAAAGGAGTTGTGTATATGATACAAATCGCCTTTATTTCACTTTTTATAGAAAATCTGTTCTCTTTTTCCAAAAGTTTTCTTCACTGTACAGTGCTAAAAGATGGTGCCTCTACTTGTTTTCTTTAGCCACCTCTGTATTGTTTTCAGTGTGAGGAAAGTTTGATTCTTACTGTGTTATGATGTTACTGTGACCATTTGCTTGTGTAATGGTGCTGCTGACTTCCGCTGTAGGTGCAGTCCTGTTCAGAAGTGAATGTCCATCTGCAGTGTTGTGTGCTGTGGCAGCTGTCACAGAATTGGAGACAATTCAGTTGCCAGTTTCACTTTTTGTCCACCCACTCATAGTATCTGGAAGATCTTCAAATTGAATCAGTACACAGGCTCCTCAAACAAAAGCTGTGAAAACAAACTGGGAAATAAACAGTGTTTTTGTTCCTTCAAAATGTCAGGCATTCAGAGAAGTAGTCTAAACTTACATTGGATAATTTTTCTGCTCATATCTATCTATGCTGCTCTGTATTGCTTTGTCTTCCTTTTAGTATGTTAATATCTTGGAATTTTTTTTTCTTTATATAACTGGGTTTTTCCCCCTCCGTATAATCATAGAAAGCAGATATTTCAGGAGTATGTTAGTCACAATAAAAATTATCTTCATCCTCTCTTGTTCAGATTGGGGTTTTGTGTTTGCATAATACACATATTTCGTTTTAGGCTAACAAAAATGGAGGTTTGACAGTGGACTGCTCTGTAAGGTGTGAGCTGTACAGCAATTCTGCCTGCTCTGTGTGGTTTAAAAACAGAGGCTCAAACCCTCAGCCCTGGGTGTGGATGCTATGTATCGAGGAGTGATGTGCCCAGATTTCATGTCAGATGCTGTTGGCTTATATTCACTGCATTCTTAACTCATTATTTGTGCACAGAGCAGTTTGATCAGTGGTAATAAACTTCAGCTGAGTTGCAAATGTGTGCTAATCATTTACTAGAGTGGACTTGTCCTTTTAAACTGCGCTGGGCACATCTGACAGTTTATGAAATGCTCCTTGTATTAGCAGAAATTCTCAGATGCTAAATCAATTGCTCTGGGAATAATAGTTGTGCTACTTGAATGTAATTTTTTTGGGCAGATGTTATCAGGAAGAATTTGCAGTTTTGTTCTGAAAAATATTCTGTAAAATAAATACAGAGATGGGCCCATGATCACACAGGAAGTCTATAGCTGAACCTACCAAACTTTCTCTTAATCCATCCTTCATGTTAGAGTGTTACATTATTCATGTTCTAGAGATTATATCAGCTGTGGGTATAAAGATGGATTTCTCTTTCACTTTTCAGTTGTTAAGTCCTTAATTTTCAATGCTCATTTTTGTTTATAAACAGTAAGTAGTAATTTCATAAAAGTGTGGAGGTTTTTCCTTTTGTTGTAGACTATTGTTTTACACTGTTTTGTCCAAAGAACTCTGCAGGTCACTTCTTTTTCAGCATTTTGTGGTCCTGTAAAGACACACTTGAGATTCATTCCTTGTAGCATCCTTAGGTGTTGAAATACTGGAAAGAAGTTCACTTTTTAGTAACTTTTCCCAAATAAGTAGTTTTCAAGTGCAAACACAATAAAATATTAAAGCTTGATCTGTTTCTTTAACAAGATACTTGTGTTCTGAGTCAGCTGTGTGTTTTAAACGGGAGGGATGGCCAGGGATATGCACCTTTTCTCCTAATAACTTTTTAGTTGTTTTGTAGCATTCCAGACTGTAGTTCTTGATGGTTTGTGAGTGCTGTTATGTAAGCACTGTAGCAGTACAGACAGAAGGTTCTGTATTTTGCAGTGTTCAAAGAACAAAGATGTCAGATAAGTGGTGATGATGTACTCTTTCTAGGCTCATCTTTTAGATTTACTCCAATTTGCTGTTCTTGTCAGCAAAATAAACATTATGACAAAGATGTTGGCTATCATGTTTCATTCTTTAATGTCCTTTGTTCGTATGGAGGTTGGTTATTAATGGCTTTTGGCTGAAAATAGTAGTTACATTTTTATTTTGTATTAGATCTGAAAGCATGTGAGATCATATTTCTTCTCCTGTTAAATCAGGGTAATTTCCTCTTAATAACTTTGGGTCTTACAGGTGCAAAATCACAGATTTGCAATCCTCTTTTAAAACTGTTGAAATTCAGGGACAAATCTTTCTGTAGAACAGATTGAGTGATGATCTCATTCTTTCTCACCTTGGAGCACTGCTAATAGAAAGAATTGCCTTTTCTTACAAAACATCTTACACAACAATATCTTTTTATCATGTACCTGCAGACTGCTATTCTGCTCTGCCTGCCTGCCTTTTATTGAGTGGCACCTGACTTTGTGTGCAAAGGTGCCTCTGTGTCTGATAGGTGGGAACAGAGTGCTGTTCTCAGTCAGCACAGGACAGCTAATCAGACACCTCTCATTCTGCCTGGTAGGGGCTGGTGATGGTCCTACAAGGAACATGGTGCATTACAGTTTTCCTTCTTTCCAATAGTTGCTACTGTGACATTGTATAAATCAGAGCTTTAATAAGATAAACAGGGAAACTCCTTCTTCACATGTTTGTTTATGTTATGCTTGAGGCTGGTTTATATGATTCTTTATATCTTCCTTGGGCGTGGATCCTGAAGTTGGGGAGGTCTGTATTTCATCCCCAGTTTCCAAATTACTGAGTACTTGGCCTCATATCCTTTTTTTTTTTTTTAATATATATTTCAGGCCTTCAAACAACATTTTCTTTTGTAGAAATCCAGTGTGAAATTGCTGCAAAAGCAGAGATGATTATACAAAGAGTAGTGCTGAATTCACGGCCTGGTATGTATTTCTCTCCACTACAAAAGCAATGTGTTTGTTCTGATTGCCTAATGCTCCAGAATGGTGAGGGTAGAAACAGACACTAATTTGAGATATTGACATTTATATATCTTAATATTGTATGCAGCAATAAAGTTTATTTAAAGTTTATTTATTTATATATAAATGTATTGATTTCCATTAATATAAACACATATATTTGTAATAAATTTGCATTTATTAATAAATGTAAATTGTGTTAGTATAGATACATTTCTACTGAATATGTAACATATATTCAAACTGCATTTGTTGTTTAGTCTGCAGATTTCTAAACAATTGTGTGAGGAAAAAAGGGTTTACATGTAATATATGAGGAAACTCTAAGTGTGGAGGCTGAAAGTGAAGAAAGATTAGGGCACATAACTTTTTAGTTCTCACATTTATTCTTTTTGCATTGTAAGAGGTGTCTAAAATATTTGGTTACTATTAATTTTTGTTTCCTTGTAGTAAATATTGAATCTTTTGCTCCTCTCATGTTTCAAAGGGTTTGGTGTTTAAGTTTACACTGTTGAGGTTTTGTTTACTCTCTTGTTTACACATTTGCCTTGTTATGGATCAGCACAGTATTTTGAGTAGTGAGTTCATAAATCTGGTGTAGAAGACATTAAGTTTTGGAGGGAGTATTGTATGCTGCTTAATGCTAAAATAGTTTCAAGTGTTAAGAACTATTGTATGACCTGCAATTAAGTCTTTCAAATGGTGCAGCAGGAGCCTGCTCTAGCTGTGCAGTCACTCTGACCTAAAATAGGCAGGGCTGTCTGGCTGTCTCAGCACTGGTGGTTCCAGTTGGCTGATTGACCTGCTGCATGTGGTACCAACCTGAGGATAAAGCCTCCAGTTCTGGGATCCTTGCCACAATTTTATGGATGTTTCTAGGAAGCTTTAATGTAAGGAAGTCTCTATGAAGGGATGCCCTTGCAGAATGTGCATGTGTAGTGGCTTCAGTCTATTCCCTCAGTCTCACTTGAGTCGGAAGAGGCAGAAGGGTGAGAGTAGTTGGTTCTAGTTTTACACCTGAGTAAATATTCATCCTAATTTATCCTAAAAAAGGCTACCTTAAAAAAAGGCCTTCCTCTGTTGGTTAAGGAAAGTTCTACATTGATTCATTTATTTGTTAAATTCTAATATAACTCTAGGTAAGAATGGAGTGCCAGTGGCTGAAAACTTCCGACTGGAGCAAAGTACAATAGCAGACACAGTCCAAGCGGGACAAGTGCGTGTTAAAACTCTCTATCTCTCAGTGGACCCCTACATGGTAGGTGATGGACTCAGAGCTAAGCCAGAAATTGTTCTTTTAAGTACCTTCAACTCTTTACCTGTCATGAGGTTTAACACCAAAGTTACCCATTACAGAACAAATATATATGTAGTGTAACATAGTAATTGTATTCATTCTGATGGAGTTCTATTGGGAAAGAATTTGGCATTAATATGTTTGGAATATATATACATATATATATATATATATGAATATTACTTCATTGGACCAGGAAGAGACTGTAAACCATTACAGATTTGTTTGTATCATTTTTTTCTGAATTTCGCCTTTTTTGTATTCTTTTTTTTCCCGTCATGCAAAATTACAGAAATCATGTGGTTGAGAGAATTGTGGGTTGAAATGGAAGTGAAGGTAGAGGAAGAACCAGATAGATACAGTCTGTAAAATTCTGCTATAAAGAGAATTCTGATGATTTATTCCCCCATAGATGGTGATAGTAGAAAAAAAAACCAGTCTAGATTTCAAGAAAGTACATTTAGCTTGAGAATTAAGAAAAAGTTTAAGAATCTTGAAATACTGGCTGTAGCTACATGGGAAACTAGAAAGAAAATGTGTCCCATTTCAAGATGTTTCATTAAACAGATCTCTGTCAGGGGTGGTCTACATATACTTGACTACTCTTCAGTGCACAGGCGTAGACTAAATGACTTGTGGGCATTCTTTTTCAATCCTGCATTTCTAGGATTCCTTCAGCAGAGGAATGGCATTTGTAGGGTTCTCATCAGACCCAAGCCAGTCATTGTCAGTTGTGCTGGTGCTTTTGAGCCACCATCTGTAGAATGTGTTTGCTTTGGTAACACTGATGGAGATCAGGATGGTCCATCCTCCTTTTGTACTGAGCAAACAATGGGAAAGAGGGGTCTAAGAAAATATTATGAATACTTGGGGCTTATTGAGAGATTTTTGAGTAGCCCTTTGTGTTTGAAGTTCAGAACCCATTTTTGTCCCCCACCCAGCTTGAACTGGTAAAGCAGCTATGTTCCACCAGAGCCTTTCATTAGAGCCTTGTCTTTCAGCGCTGCCGAATGAATGAGGACACGGGCTCAGATTACCTGCGGCCCTGGCAGCTGTCTGAAGTTGCTGATGGTGGGGGCATCGGGGTGGTGGAGGAGAGCCAGCACCATAACCTTGCTAAAGGAGACTTTGTAACCTCCTTCACTTGGCCCTGGCAGACAGCAGCAATTCTTGATGGAGACTCACTGCAAAAGGTAATAGAAATGCAAAGCCCAGGTTGTGTGTGACTGTTTTTTTCCTAAATCCTTTTTTTCCCCCCCAAACTTCTATTTTTTCCCCCTAAATAGCTGCTAATGATGCTTTTTTTTTTGTGCAAAAGAAACATACTTATTGAAGCAATCAGTTGTCAAAAGGCTGATCAACTCATAGGTGCCAAGATTTATATTTTTTTTTAATAACAATTTTGCCAGTTGATATATTAACCTTAATATATTAAGGCCAGTATTATTTTAATTGTTGTTTTTTAAAAAAAAATCCCTGAAGCTACTCCAATAAATAATTCTCTTAATTATTTTAATTCTAATAGAACTTCTTCATGAGAGTGTAACTGTAACACATGAAAGGCTTTAGGTATATTTAATCTATTTTTTAACTTATGTTAGTAAAAGCTTTTACCTCAGGTTTTACATTCACATAAGAAAGGGTATTTAGTATTAATTTGGAAGTGGAGAAGTTTCATTGTGTTAGGGATATTGTGTTGATTGTTCTCTCATAACAGAAAATTACTGTAGTTTGAGAATTTATACTTTCCAATAAACTCCTTCCTCTAGGACCCTCTGTTACTGATCTGCAAGCACCATATTTGATAAAATGGTGCATTTTTATCCTTTTATGCTAGCATGGGGATAGTTCACCATTGTTGGAAACTTCATATCTCCCAAATGTTTTTTAACACTTCCATAATTTCAGTTTTTGTGAGTTACTTTGCTTAAAAACTTTTTCTAAAACCACAGAGACATAACATTTTTGTACAGACTTGTTTAGAGATAGCTCATCCCTACCAGTTTTACCTTGCCTGGTAAATATCCTGAATTCGTTTTCTACCCTCAGGCAATCTTAAGAGCAGAACCTCACCTTAGAAACAAATGACCTCCTACCTACTTTCTGTTCTCTAGCTGGAGCCACAGCTTGTAAATGGACGCCTTTCCTACTTTCTGGGTGCTGCTGGCATCACGGGACTGACGGCCCTGTTGGGAATCAGGGAGAAGGGACATGTGGCTGCGGGTGCAAACCAGACCATGGTGGTGAGCGGGGCGGCCGGTGCCTGCGGCTCTTTGGCCGGCCAGGTGGGTGCAGCTTAGGGCATGCAAACATACTCTGTTAGCAAGTTTGCTCTTCTAAAACATGCTGCTTATTAAATATACAGATAAAATCTTTGTAAACGTGAGCAGATATCATCCTGTGGGAACGGCCAGTTTCACAGATTTGGCACACGCTCTCAGTGTGAAAGACTTGACGTGTGAAAATCAAGTTTCATGAAATAGGGAGAGGAGAACACAGATGGTGATTACTTGTTGCTAGCGCAAGTAAAATAGATGGTGTATATATACATGTAGTTATTATACATTTATATGGTAGCCTGCCATCCCAACACTGTATTGACTGGGGACTTTCATTTTTTTCTCTATTAGAAAATAGTAATGTGGTAAACCCTTTGTACTGTGTTCCATGACATCCTTTGTGTTTTGAGATTTACAGTCCTTTTATCCTCCTCTGCTTTGCAGAACCTGTTTGTGGTGTGTATGTGCTTATCTACAAATATCTCTCTAGATATATATACATACACAAACAAAATTGATATTAAGCAAACTTTAGACCTACTAATAAAGAGAAGCTATGAAGAAACAATGCATGAGCAAATCTATGAAGGTTGTATTTAAATCAATTATTGTCTAATTTTTTTTCCTTTTATTAGTTATGTTATGGTACTTGGCAGATGGTCATTTTCTACTATATTTGGTTCTCCAGTACTGGCAGTCATTTTTGATTCCCCAAACATAGTCTGCACTCAGTGGGTTTGAAAAGATGGTAAATTTTGATTGTGCCCTGTGTGTAGTTGTGAGGAGGGAGTGACAAGAAGTGGTTGTGTCACATGAGATGGGAGTGTTTGCTGCCTGGGGTTTAGTGGGATGGGAATAACTGTAACACCCCTTAGGACCCCCTTTCTTCCACTGTACTTTTATGCACATGGATGATACAATTTGTGTTTGGGGTTTTTGGTTGGTTTGTTTGATTTGTTTTTTTTTAACTGTGTGCCTGCAGATTGGCCGTCTGGAGGGCTGCTCTAGAGTCGTGGGGATTGCTGGCACAGATGAAAAGTGCTCCATTTTGGTCCAAGAAATGGGGTTTGATGCTGCTATCAATTACAAGAAGGGGGATGTGGCAAAACAGCTACGTGAACTCTGCCCAGATGGTGTGGATGTTTACTTTGACAATGTTGGTGGTGACATCAGTGATACAGTTATAAGTCAGGTGATTATTCCAGCTGTCAGGTTTATTCTAGTTATTCTCCAATGTCTGCAGGCCCAGCTTTCAATGAACTCATACTGGAGTCCAGCCTGTAATACAGCACAGCTTTCCACTTCAGTAATCCACTTCAGGTGCTGATTCTGGGGGCCCACAGCAAGATAATAATTTCCTATATTCCTTCTATTTTGTGCCTTTTTAAATTACACTAGCCTGAATAGCAGTTATTTACCCACTATTACCTTGCATTTTTATCTATTTTAATGTTGTCATAGATTCTATGGGACTGCATGCAACTCTCCCACTCTTACAGGAAATGTGGCTAATGAAAATTTTGCAATAACATCTATTGCATCTGAAAAATTTAGTTTCTGAGACTGAGGAATGCCATTTTTCTCACTTTATGCTGTCCCAAACAGATGAATCAGAACAGTCATATCATCCTGTGTGGACAGATTTCTCAGTATAACAAAGACGTGCCTTATCCCCCTCCACTGCCTCCTGACACAGAAAAAATACAGAAAGAAAGGAACATCACAAGGTACAGTTCTCCTCCAGAACTTGTGACCAGGTTCCAGGTAGATTGTTCATATGGTGTTTGGACAGTAGTCTGTAATCTGCAGTAGCTATTTGTAATTGGAACAGAATGTTGCCATGCCTAGAAAGGAAAATATAATCATGGTATCATTAGATCTTTTCTCTTACATTTGTCTTTATCAGCATAAAAAATGGGAAAGGATGTTTTTATATAGAATCATAGATATAATTTGTTACATTTTGTTTGAGGTTGCTTGATTCAGTCCTTTAATCCCTGACAATTCTTTAGGACAAGGGAAGGTGTTGCCATAGTTCTGTTCTCAGAAGTTTTGCAAAGTGCCTTCTCTCAAAATGTTGTAGTTCAGGCATAAGGATGCAGCTGATGCAGTGATTTTACTAAAGTTACATTTTTAGTATTTGGGGGTTTATTAGATAATGGAACTGTAGCTGTGACAGATATATATGGGTAGAACATTTTTATGATGTTCTGACTCTGGGAATTGCTGAATTTCCTCTAGGGTTCAGATGGCGCTAAGGCAGAGATTAGGAGGAGAGTCTTGGATTTTTTCATTGCAGGACATTTGGGAGACTTGATTTCTGTGCAAATCAATTAATCTCTCCTAATTAAAATCTTTCCTTGTCCCTGTTACAGTTGTCTGCCCTTGTAAAACAATGGATAAAATTAGTAAAATACACCATGCGTAGTAGAATGCAGGGAAAATTTAGTCAATAGGTCCCTACAAGTAATTATCATTTTTGATGATAATTTCCATTTCTCAATTGCTATGGAAAGCCATGACAACAGGATATGCAAAATTGTGGGGAACCTGAAAGTTAAGTTAGTCTCACCATCTGGTTGCAGGTTCACTAATTATTCTCCCTACCACTGAAAAAAAGAAAAAGAAAATGTAGAAAATAATAGTAATTTGCTCACATTTTATGGATATTTACTTACTCTGGTGATACTACTTTACTACTTAATTTTTATTACTCTTCTATCTATACTTGAAGAAATCTTCCTAAGACTGATGTTACTGTCAAGCTCCCACTGCAGGAAGTTGTCACAACAAACTAGCAAGGCCCTGAGCTACATTTCTTTATAATTTGTGCTCATAACCCTTCAGTTTCATCAAGGCTGTTTTCTGAAAAGATTTTCAAGGACATTGATCAAAGCTTCTTAAACTAAAGCTCATTCTTTTCTTTCACAGGGAAAGATTCTTGGTGTTGAACTACATGGACAAACAAGAAGCTAGTGTATTACAACTCTGCCAGTGGATCCAAGAGGGTAAACTGAAGGTGAGAACTTCTAGGTTTAGTCTATGGCCTTTGATACTATCTCCTTCTACAAGAGGACTAATTTCGTTGTCTCTGGCTCTCTTACTGTGCCTCAGGATTGAACAGACCTTTAAAAAATGTGTAAGTATAATTGAAAGCTTATTAGGTAGCCCTGTTTTTTAAAAGGTACTTGCTGAGAATGGTCTGACTGTAGTATAACTGACTTCTCTGATTACATGCTGCTTGTGTCTGTGTTCTTTATTTCAGCATAGGGTGGAAGTGCTTTTTTACTTAAAGATTCAGACTTCCAAAAATATTTTAAAAAAGTACTTTTAAATACCTGCTAAGTTAAGTGTCCTGAAAGCTTTTGAGAATCTCATTGGAAATTTTACTTCAAGCTTTATAATCAGCATTTATTACTTTGTAATGAGCATATGCTTAACTGTGCCTTCCCTGTGAGGTCTGTCTGAATTAGTTTTTGGTTCTTCAAGTGATCAGTAATTTTCCAGGAAAAATAGCAAGACATTAAATTTTGGTAGGGGCAGGGATCTGATTGAAGAATAAACCCACTTGCAAATTTATCAGAAAATATTCACGCCTCTCTTGATGAAAGAATCTGGTCCAAACAGAGCCCTGTCCAGTGTAGTGAGAGAAGTCTTTAGATTTGGGTGGTTTCTATGGCAGTTTCTTGGCATGTTTCTAAGAAATGTGAAATGCTCCTCTTGTTTGCATTGACAGGTCAGAGAGACTGTGGTAGAAGGCTTAGCAAGCATGGGTGGTAAGATATTTACATCATTTTTGAAGAATAATGACCTGATTATATACAATGACAGAGGTTAACTTTGTTCCATTTGTCAGTTTAGATTTTTGTATTTTATCAAAAACATTATTTTTGTTACAATAATTTTTCACTTATTATTAAAATGTTCTGTAAGAGAATTATTGTATATTTAAAAATAATTTGATATAAATTTAGATTTTATTGTTGTTGTTTTAGTACTGAGGAGAATTTATTCTTAGACTGCTATCTTAGCAGCTGGTGATAATCATCCTAATCTTAGAGGTTTAAAGTGCTGCCCCTTTCTTTGAACTAGTGTATAAGGAAATGGTTTTTTAAATCCTTGAATTTGTACTTTAAAAACACAATATCTAACAGAAGTATATAAAAAAAAATTAAAAGTATACAGAAGAAAGGGCAAAGCATCTTACTAAAGAAAGTAAAAATTAATTTCTTTTAACAGAACAAAATGTTCTGTAGTTTGTTCAAAGTATCTGTAACAAAGGAAATACAGAAGTGAAGGGAATCTGGTAATATGAACCATGTGATGCGTATTAAAAATGTGTCCCCCTCAAGGAAGAGGGAAGAGTGTGATTAGTCCCTTTAGCCATTAGTCCCACAAGATTGAAAACTAGTAGAATTAAGTAATAACTAAATCTCCTAGATTTCAATTTATTCTAGTCATTGCTAATTCCTCCTTACTGGTATACATATGTATTTTGAAGTAACTTGGTCAAATATATCAGTCACATATCATACTTTCATACTTTGTTTACTCAGAGATAGATTCTTTTGTACCAGCTTCTCCCACTACTGTACAATATTTATAAACATTTTCTCTCATATATGTTTGTGACCCACAGCACTTGTGAGCTGTCCAATCATGTCTTATGGAGCATCAAACTGTTGCTTACAAATAATTCTTTTTAAATTGTTACACAAAGCTGCCCTTAGCAGTTTATTACAGGCTAGCTTTTTTTTTTTCCATCTCCTTCATAATTTAACACATAATTAAGGATAAATATGATTCGGTCCTAAGTGGTATGTCTCCTTTTTTGGGAGCTGCTTAATACATTTGCTTCTACCATTTTTGGTTTCTTTTTTGGAAGCTACTTGGCTTGTTTTGCTTGGCATAAACTTACTTCATTATTTCTCTTGAAGCTGCTTTCCAGTCCATGATGAATGGAGGCAATATTGGAAAACAGATCGTCTCAATTTCGAAGTAAAAGTCATTGGTTCGAGAAAAATAATTGCATTCGGTCTCTAACAGTGGGCAAGTTTTTACTTATACTAATTTCCATTTCTTAAATAAACCATTAAGTTGTTCTGTATGTACTGAAAGCAGAGATTTTGGGATGCTAATAAATTAAATTGAACTGGAAACAGCAATGCAATAATTGATACTCGAATAATACGTTCTTGGCATGATTTTGACAGTTGCCACCCACAGTTGCAAATATTTAATGGGTGTGGTTTAAAAGAACATTCTGTGTTGTCCCAAGCATAGGCTTATCACCTGGTTGGTGTGTGACAGCACTTGACACACCAAGGTGAGGAATTCCTATTTCTTTATTGTATTCTGTACAAACTAGGAAACTGGGGGGCAACTCACAAAAGTCTGGCTCATCACCTGTGGAGAGCTTTGTGGACAGTTGGTTAGCTGAGAAAGGTCACGTCGACATGATGCCACTGGTTAAGCTTGAAGGGGACAAGTATAGGAGTCAGTAGTCAGTGTCCAATAACAGGCAAGGACATTGTGCCCTTGGTGCAACAGCAGGATAGGGGAGAACATCTTTGGCAGAAATATGGAGAAAAGTTTCAATAAAATATCCACAAGAATGCAGAAGTAGGCATAGTTGGCTGATAAGTAACTAACCAATAGTGAGCTCGCCTTTGCAATATGTATGAGCCTCATTAACAGCAACACAAAGATGTGTGCCTATCAATAAAGTTTGAGATTTGCTGATCACTCATATTCCATGCCGCATTTCTCCCGCCGATTCCAACAACCACCATCAAAACTTCACACCATTTGCACATTTTAGCAAACAAAGCCATCAGCATTCATTGGTTACAACTGATATAGCTTTTTCATTAATTAGTACTCAGACCCTTATTTGCCAGTTCTATCTCTTGCTTCTCATGCTAATTATTTCACATGTGCACTTCTTCTCCCCATTCTATTTGGCAGTCTGTTTTAACTTGGTGGACAGGGGTTGGTGGTTTCTATCCCCTGCCAGGACTACCTTTCCCCCAGTTACTGCTCAGTCCTGCTGACATCACTCCAAGGGCTCTTATCCAGACAGCCCAATTATTTTGGGATTGTGTTCCCTTTTCCTTAAAACAAAGGATTAGCCATGCCTACAAGTTTCACCTTGCAATTGCTTAATCATAACTGCCTAGCTATAGGTACTGATTAACAACAAAAAACCTGCAAATTTTGATTCAAATCTTGAGGAAGTAAATATCACAATATTTGCTGAAGAGCTACTCGAGAGTGAGTTCATCTCTGGCACCATGAGTTGACATACCTTTCATGAGTAATTGTCCTCTAGATGGTTATTTTTCACAACTGGAACAAAATATGATAAAATTATAATATTCCCAGCAGTCTTAATTTTATAGGAATTGCTTAGTAATCCACATAAGTCAGCAGTCTATTAAGAGCTATGATGTGAGGGGTGATTCAGAGTGAGATCATGCTGAGATACTGATTCCTTACCATAATAAGGGCAGCTTGATTGCAGTAGCATTCTGGTAGTTAGGTAAGCTGGGGAGGGCAGTACAGGCTCTAGCAACATTAGTCAAAATGGCTTTAAGACAGAGAGATAGGGACAGTGAAAGTAAACCTCACCCTGATAACCCCAGTGTTTACTATTCTCATAGAAGTATTCCTTTACTTGTGAATCCTGGTTCATGTCACATCTTAAGAATAAAAAGCCAAAAGGAGAAAATTCTTTAAATTAAGTGCCATCAGTTATAGAAACTACTATTTTTTTCATCTTGTCCTAATTTCTTAATATTTGTAATAATGTAGTTCTTCAGCTATTATATATTTTATACTGTGAGAGGTGTCATTTAACAAAGGGTGACAAATAACTGGTAAGAAAAATCCAGTATGCTTTGGAGGTTGCTTCTCATGGTAATCAGTCCACATGCCCAGTCTTTCACTTCTTTTGTGTTGGTGGGTTTCTTGACTCGGTGGTTGTGATCTGCCTGTGTCAGAATTACCTTTATCCAGTCAGAGCCAATTTCAGCACAGTTGCTGAGTTCTTTATTAGTTTCTTCCTTATCATGGGAGTTCTTCCAGATGTCCTTATGGCCTATAAACTCTGCATTCTTTGTGTCCTCTGTCAGTACTACATTCTTCCCAAGCTTTGCTAACCTCCCACTAGGCCTGAGATCAAGCACGTCAAGCCCTGAACTTTAAGGAGGCCAACAAGTACTTTGTCTTTAACACCTGGGCATCACTTACAGCTTGCTTGTTAGCTGCTACCTGCTTTGTGGGTTGTATCTTCTTTCTTGTTAATTAGGCTTGAAAAGGTATAAATATCAAATATCAAATAACATCCTTTCTTACGCGAATTTTTACATAATTCACATTTTACAACAATAAGGCAAGACCTGTAACTCTCTGGGCAAATGGTTAATTATTTCTGTCTCTTGAGATGTCAGCATCATAATCAGTCTCTTCCCTTTTATCTCATTGTCTTAGTTTCCCTTTATTGCATTCCGTGTTTTTTAGGTCAAGCTGTTCTCCTTTTCCCAAAAACACACCCATACATCTGTTTCTTATCTCCATCAACACAGCTGGTGCTGTTCCTCAAACAGGATTCAGTACCTGCAGTGTAAAACCAGTATCTGGCCCAGAGCCAAGATACTTGGTTTATTTCATGTTTGGGTGCTAGGTATTAATTCCACAAAGCCATCTTGAAACGTGTCCATTTGCCTCTCTCTCTAATGCATACTCATTTTTACTCATAATTGACTGGCATCATATTTGCTAACAAGGTCTGTGTGTGCATAACTGTTCATCTTTTGAGTCTGTCGGTTTCTTGAGTCCCTGGTCATGAGCTTGCACTTCCAGATTTACTTTTTCTCTAAGAACACCATTTCTGAGCCAAAGCAGTTCACCATCTTGTTTACCTTCTTGATTTAAGATGGGCCCCTTAGAACCTATTGGCTGGGGTCCTTGTTTCTTTGTTCCTCTACTGATCTCTTTAGGTCATCTTGACTTTCTGATGCCAGAAAGTCAAGATGACCTAAAGAGATCAGTAGAGGTTTTTCCATGTACACGGAACAGCAGCTCCTGTAACTCACAGCGCCCTGGCACAATTTCTGGAAACAAGTACAGTCTTTTATTCAAAAAGGTGTTAAGGGAAGAGTCATATAAATACTGACTAATAGTCACTCATGCTTAATTACTGATGCCTATGACAAAATTCCTAATGCACATGTGCAAATCTGGGCGCAGTGCAAGCACATGTGCAAATCTGGGTGCAGTGCATTATATTATCATTTACACAGACAAATTTAAATTTTCCGGGGTGGGGGGGAGATGTCTCTGAGTATTACAGTCATCAAAGGTAATTCTAAGTTACATTTTCCTTCTAACAGCTAACAAATTGCTATTTAACTTGTATTCTGTTACAGTTTCTGCTTGAGCCTCTCTGAAAAATTGGTTGTTAACTAAATAAGGATTTATAGTATTCTGTTCCTGGGGCCTCTTCACATAGCACTCTATTCCTGAGAACTCTTCACTGCTCTATTACTCCAGCCCCCATTGTTATGGTTTCAAAACAGACCTAGAGCTGTTAGGGCTTTTTGTGAACTTTTATGCATGTCTGTCTTCATGTGACATTGTGACCACAGGACCACAGTAAGGCAGTTCAGCCACAATCTTTATAAATAACTATTTACAAAGGATAATAAAATGTAAACAGTATTGGGCAGAGACACCTTTTTTCCTTAGTTTTGGTTAAGCCAATCTTCTGCTTTTTATTTATTAGTCTTGTGCATTTCCATTTCCATCTCATTTCCCTTTGTACCTTGAAGTATTGCTGTTGTCTGCCCTATATTTCATTTTCTTCCCTTCTGCTTTTTTCCCTTCCATTTTCATCCCTTTCCTGGTTGTTTTTGGGTTGGTTTTTTTTTTTGGTTGGGTTGGTTTAGTTTTGCTTTTTTTTAGTTGATCTTGTTTCTTGTCCTCCTTTTTGTCTTCTTCATTGACAATGAGAAAAACATGGAGTTTTTCGTAAGAGCTTCTATTAGTGCTTAGTGCTGAATCGTACAGTTACATGTCAGGATTTCATGCAAAATGTCACCAACACCATGAAAAGACCTTTCCAGCCCAGACATAAATGATTCTTACTGCAGTTTATAGTAGCTGTTGTTACAAAAGTGAAGAGGAAGCCAAAGGAGGTTGTGTGTCAGCTTTCCTGGACCCCCAGAATTTTGTAGACTGGTAAGTGCACTTTTGTTTCTCTTCTTAAAAAAATTTTTAAAAAATCAGCCTCCACACAAGCCATGCATGAATGCTCAGTGTGGGGGGTTAATCAAACAGTGGGTTCAAGTGTGTGCAGTGCAGACACTATTGGAGAGACCAGCCTAAGGGTAAAAGTATTGGGTAATGTTATATTTAACAATGGTAACAAGTCAAAAGATATGAAGTATATTATTGCCACTTCCTGTTATCTCTAATCACATAAAAGTAATTTAATTGTGAAATGTCATTTTATTATCAATTTTTCAGTATTGTATCTCACAAATAAATTTTGTGCCATCTCTGATTTTTTAACAGCTTTGCAAAACAAACTTTTGTAGCAACAAATTAAATTCTTTATTCTCTTAACAGTATATTTACCTCATGTAAATGGGTGCTTGCTCTTTTTCATATTACATTGAAGACATTACATTATTAATAGTATTACATTACTATTTTCCTATATCATTGAGGAACAGAAATGAAGGAACAGGAAAACTGTCGCCTGTTAGAAATAACAAAAGTCCTTGTTGTAATCAATATTTTCTTCTGATTTATTTTTCTGTGTTCTACTACAGTCACTGCTGTTTTTTTCCAAAGGGACCATAAATAAATTAGCCCTCTTTTTTCTTGAGAAGCCATAAGTAAGTTACTGTAAAATTACCTAAAGTATTTTAAATGTTCCACTCACAGCTGGTCTTTTGTGAAGCAACGCAGTGTTCTTTACAGATCAAGGCACCTCAGCTTTCTTGGCTCTGGATCATTGCATTCTTCATTATTGTAACTAACTGTTCTATAATTTTTGTACTTAGGAAAAAAGTGAAAACAAAGAAATAAGTTTTCTTAGGTCACTCTTTGGTGCATTTGGCCAAGACCCAGAAAAACAGAAATTACAGACTTTATAGGCATCAGACCATAGTATTCCTACAGTCTCTCCCATCCTGAGGCTATTGTTTCTATTCTTTGCTTTGAAGCTGAAAACCCCAGCACCACTGATAATTCACTGTCCTTTCACCAGTCATGGGTGGGAGGACTGGCAGCCTTAGTAGTGCAAAATGAAACTCCTTCCTTCCAGAGAGTCAGCCTGTTAGTTAGCCAGCACTCCCAGGGCAAGAGCTATAGGCCACAGCTCAGGTAAACATGAACACAAATACATACACACACCTATGATCTGCTTGTATACAGCATTATGAACTGAAAACATCTTTGGGCATAGGACTCTGGCTGTGAAGACCACTACAGCACCTTTGCAATCACTATTACTTCATAAAGACATCTGGTCTAGTCTTGTAAAAACACATGTCAACTCTGAAATAAAAATCAAAGAATCACAAATCTAGAAGCTCATCAGGTCCTATGCTCATATTTTGCAGCATTATAAAAATCAATAATTAATTATTTTTCTATTCACAGTAGTAATAGGCAAACATTTCCATTTGTGATCCATATGGACGTATCTATCTTTGTATCACTAAAAAAACCCCATTGATGAGATTATTCCAAAGTTGACTGTACTGATGTATAATCCATAACTGTATTATGTAACATGTATTATACAGTATGTTGTATAATAGAAGGAAAGTGTGTATAACATATTGTACATTAACTATTTAATACAGTTCTGTAGCAGTGCAGGTGCAGCTTTGGGTCTTACCACTTAACGGTGGGGTGTATGGAATTCCAGCATCACAAAATGATAAGGTTGTACCTTGAGAGTTTTTAAGACAGAATTTGGAGTACTTATATTGTACTTCAGGAGCTTTGACAGTTTTTTATCTCTGTTATGTAAGTTCTGAGCTGTGATGATTTCAGTGTCCAGGTTTTATAAATGAGAGCCGCGGTCAGTAGCACCAGCCACGTTCTCATTGGGGACAGGAAGAAGGCCAAGGTGCCGTAAGTGCGTTGCAGGAAATAGCAGGAGTAGACCTGCCAGGCCAGGAGCAGGACCATTGCCAGGTGAACGGGCACAGCCACGAGGCGGCGCGCGTGACGGAGGTGGGAACGGAAGCTGTGGCCATGGCAGCGCAGCAGCAGGCACCAGCACAGATAGGCCATCAATGGCAGGTTGAAAAACATCATCTGAAAGGAAGAGTGAAGAAAAATAAGACAATGAGGAAGCCAAGGGTTCTGGGTAACATCTATGAAGGCTTAAAAATGTATGCGCAGATAAAGCTGTCCCATTCTAAGGGCTGAGTACAATTCCCAGAGATGGAATCTCAGGATGCATCTCCACGACTGCAGCTGATAAAGCTGGGACTGCCTGGGCCTGAGTCCCAGGCCAAGCATTCCTGCCCATTCCCTTGCAGTAAGAGGCACTAACACACATCTGACATTTCCTGGAAATGATTCAGGGAGCCAGACTTAGCAAAATATTAACATGGCAAAACCAGACAGTCTGTATGTCAGCTTAACTCTGACCCAGCCCACTGCAGTGTCCCACTGGTACAAAGGAGACACCATGAAGAAGGAGGCAATGCTGCTTTGATCCTCCGTCTTAAATGCCAAGGACTGACACTTTGTCTTTCAGATTAATGGGGAAAACACTCCTGGGAAAACTGGACTCATGCGTGCTTAGAGAGTGACACCTACTGATCTGAAGAGTTATTAACACTGCAAGGGCTACCCTGGCTATTCAGTTTTTTGCTTACATTGTGTGAGCCAAGGGCAAAACCAGAAAATTCATTGAAAATGTAGAGTTACACATCTGTAGAGGCAGCCTCTAATCCAGATATCCAGGGAGTCCAAAGCAACATCATTTTATTAGAGAAAAAGAGAAGTTTGTGAAAATAATGCACAACCTCCTTCCTTTCTTTAAATCTGCAGAAAGGTAAGAAAGACCACTGTAGTCAGGCATGGTCAATAATCTCTTTACTTCCAAGACTTCTTTCTTTAAATTTATTTTAAAAATGGAAAAAAGCCCCTGAGAAAAAAAGCGCTGTTTTTTAGCCTTTATTTTATAAATACTCACCTGTAAAATCCCAACCACAAATGTCATACTGCCCTGTAAGAAGGAACCACCAACAAACACTCCAAAGGAAAAACAGGCCCCCATCTGGCCATCTATCAGTTCACCTACAAACCATGGTCCTGAAGAGAGGAAACCAAACATCACCATCAGGAAACAGAACAGAGACACAGCCCTTTCCCACACAGCCTTTTGTACCCTGAGACTTCCCTATTGCTTGTCCAGAGTAATCAGCCTCATGTTTTCATATGCAGCAAACAGCAGTCTGGTGTGAAAATACCACAGTTTGACAGGGTTGTGGCATGCAATGAAAATACTTTTGAATTAGTTTCATCTCTGTGACAATTTTCAACACCACACATAATACCTTCCTTATGAGAGAGGTGAAAAGGGTAGCTTTTTCCCAGAATTGCAGTAAGATACATGAAAAATGTGGTCACAAACAATTCCAGCCTGGCTCAGCATAGGAATCAAAACAGGCAGGCTGCTCTGTGTTATACATACTACACAGACTAACAAGAAAATAGCTATTTCAGTAACATGTTATCAGAGGAGAATAAGCTCAGATTGTTAGCTCTGATGCTAACAATCAAAAAATAAGTGAAAACCAAACTGAATTTAAAAATAATCACTTTGCTTTTAGAGTAATTTAACAATCTAAGTGTTTAATTAATTCAGGGCTTCTAAGTTAGGCTCTTACAAATAAGCCTTTAGTCTCTTGGACATTAACTTTTAAAGTTCCACATAGCTTTTTTAACTTAAGTAGATTTTCCCCATTCTTTAAGATGTTAGAATTCTTAAATTTTCATCAGGATCTAATGTGTAATTTCAAAATACCAATTTATGTCCTCCAGTACTCTAGGCTACTTACCCAGAATGGTGTATAAATTCAGGACCAGAATTGAGTAATAGAAGGTGTTTGTTTTACTGAAGACATGAAGAGAATATGAAGTCAGAGTAAGTAATCCCAGCTTTCCTAAACAGAGACAACATTTAAGAAAAACACAATTCAGTTTGCAACACCTTCCCCAGATATATATGTATGTATAATACTGGTCTTTCTGAAACAAGTCTGCATATTATTTACTCATTATTTTAAATAAGGAATATAAAAATTATATTTGGTACATCTACAGAAAAATGCAGAGGAATGCATTACTATTACTGTGATAACTGAAAGTCAAGAACCAATAAGTATAACAATCTATATCAAAAACAGCAGAGGAACCTGTCATTCTAAAGGAATACACTTACTGTATGTAAATAATACTGAACAACCATTCTATACCCAGAAAATGAAGTTAGCTAGAATGAAAAACATGAGAAAGTATGTATTAAATTAAAAATTAGATAATCAAAACAGTAACTTTGCAAACCCAGAAAGGTGGGTCAGCGTGGACTAGATTTGTTGGACTTCCTTTGATTAAATCTACTTTACTGAGATCTGACAGCAGCTCAAAATTAAGTCTTGGCATTAAAATGACATTATTCTGACAAGTGTGTGGTGTTAACAGAAAAAAGCAGTAGTAGCTCTCTAAATGAAGCAGGCAATTCACAGATCAAGAGAACCTCCCTAAAAAGTTAGCTTGTAGACTTACATCTATTATGTGGCCTTCTCACAAAGAATTAACCCCTAGAGGGCAAGCTTCACCTTTGGAAATCAACAGCTTTAACAAATTTGTTCACTAAGATGTCAAACATTTATCATGGTCCACATGGACCTAGATGACCACAGAGTCAGCTTTTTTAATATTTAGCTACTGAGTTCCATAAAGGCAACTGAAAATCTGATTCTTTTCTATGTAAGCAGTCGCTGTAGTTACCTCAGGATGCTACACAATTAGGAGTATACAGGAAGGTACAAACACTGACATGAATAGGAAGGGAGGTGGCTTCCAGAAAAATCTCATTAGTAAGGTGTGGTTCAAATGACTGTTTAAAGGATAAATACCATGAGCTTAATAGTAATGATTTTAATTTACTAGATGTATCACAAACAAAGTATCAAGTTATGACAGAAATGGCCTTAATCTTATTTTGAGAAAGACCCAATCCTGTTAGTGTTCTTTGCAAAAGTTAACAAATACTATCTTTACAAAAGGAAATCTGTTTCTCCACTCAGGCAAGAGAGAATTCTGTGACAACTGTAGTGAAACAAGCACACATGCACAACTAATACAAAACAAAACATTCCCTATGTATTGGATTCTTCAGTGAGAAAATTAAAATGAAACCTTGGACTTCAATCAACTCAACTTTTGTTTAAACAAAGATACCTGCTCAAGTTTCTAGTTTACTTTATTTGATATATTGGAGGTTTTCCAGCTTCCCTTAAAAGCGAAACAACAGCTTCTGAGAAACCAATCAAACCCCACAGTAGCAGATGTAAAATGCATATGGTGATTAACAGCACAGTTACTTACATATTGTTAGCACACAGGTCAACAGTAAAAAGTTTAGGGGAAAACAGAACTACAAAAAACCACAGGTAAATGTCAGTTGATACCTTTGAGTGCTGGCTTTTGGAGGTGTCGGAAAACAACAAGTAAGGTAATCTGAATCAGCACAGTCAGTCCAAAGAGCACTCGGGCCTGAAAAGACAGTTTTGACTATAAGCCAGCCCAGGAATAATTGCAGCCTTGGAGCATGCCTTATGGACACTGAGAGAATGGTACAAAGATCCTCTTTGAAACACATATTCAAAGCTTGATGGTGTCACTGAACTGAAGAGTAAAAAAGGAAACGGAAAAGTTTCTAAAATTTGTATTGTACTGACTTGAATTCTGCTCAATATCTGAAAGCAATAGACCCGAATCTTTAAAAATAGAGTTTGTAAACACATCCATTGAAAAAGTGTAGTTACACTTCCAAGGCAAAACATTGTCTGAGCAGTGTTCTGAAGAGAAATGCAGTTCAAGACATGGTGTAAAATGTGTGACTGATTAACAAACCTAAGAATAATTTTGAACCAATTATGATAAGAACTACCGTCATGTGGACTTTCTTATGCAGTTCTAGACGTGCACCTAGGCTGCTAAGACATGACATCCTTCTTTGCATGTACTGAGCTGTAACACATCTGGATATGACCTGGCACTCACTAGAGTCAATGGGGATTTTGCCCTCCACTTCACTTCAGCTAGTTATAATGGCAGCAGCTGACAATGAGAATATTTGCAGCATTTTTTCCAGAAAACATATGGCAACAGTTCACAGTGAATTTCTCTTCAATTTAATGTTTCCTTTTTCTACTATCTCCAGTAGCTCTTTTTCAATTTCTTGCTTGTACAAAATGTTTGTACACTTATGCCCAAAAATGGATAATTGGGACTAAATCCAGGATGTCAACTGTTTGTATAAACCATCGTTGCACATTTGTGGTTGAAGTGTGCAACTTGAGAAACTTTAAATGTTTTGGAATTCCAAAAGAATCATTTCTGGAAAAAGTAAATGCATTCAAGTCTACGAATTCTTCAGGAATTATGAAAAACCCTACTGCAGATTGGGAAACCAACATGAAGTAACAGCTGTTTTGCTGAAAGTACTTACTAGGACATAGTGGTCAGTGAGAAGAATAACAGATGACCAAAAGTCAAATCTAAGAGAGAGGTTTTCTTCCATACCAAATAAATGGCCCCGTGTGCCAATTCTTCCTGAAGCATCCTAGATTGACATAAAATGAGAGCAATTACATAGCAGTGGTACAAAAAACTGTCAAGTAAAGTTAATAATTATCATTGCAGCTTTTCTAGAAAGATACAATTGATGTATGCTTCTCTGCATAGTGCTGTATTAAATTCCACCAACGAAGGGTTACTTACAGTCAATTCTGCAGTTTCAAGTAAATTGGTGATTATAAAATCATAATCTGAAAGTGCTACATTGAAGTAGAGCCTGTCAGAGATTCAGCAACTTAGGGAATACTGTGACTGTTTATGCCCCTCCCCACAATTGTTTTCAGAAAGTTCAATTCTAGGTAATAGCCCATATTAAAATATTTTCAAATTTTGTTGTGCTTCATTTCTGGTGTATTGTCATAAACCCATATACATAAACAAACATTTGTTTATTGTTTTTTGTCATTTATTCAACACTTTGAGCACAGTGTTCCAGATGTGGCCTGGCAAGCACTCAGTAGAGCAGGATAGTGACTTGTCTTGGCTGCTGATGCCCTTGTGGATGCACCCCAGCATCCAGTAGATTTTCTCTGCTGCACCAGCACACTGTTCATTCACACTAAGCTTGTGGTCGACCAGGACACTGAGGTCCCTTTTCACAGAGCTGCTCCCCAGCCAGGCCGATCACAGCCTGTGCTGCACTCCTGGATTATGTTTTCCCAGGTTCAAGTGCTTACACTTTTCCTTCATGAACTTCATAATGTTCTTCTTGGCCCACAATTTGCCCTTGATTAATCTGTACTGGGTCTTCCCAGTGATGTGCTTCATCTGACTTCAGAAAGCCCCCCACAAGGATTTATTTCCTGATTTTCCCAGAGACTGAAATAAGACTAAGGGGCCTATAATTTCCTGGATCCTCCCTTCATGCCTTCCTATACACAGGAGAGTCAGCCTTCTGCCAGTCTTCTGGGATGCCCCCTGATCTCCACAACTTCTCCAGGACTATGGAGAGTGGCCTCACAAAGATGTCAACCAGGTTTCTCAACACTCTGGAGCGGAAACTGTCAGGGCCCATTGATCTGTAGGATCAAGCTCCTGTGCCAGGTCTCACTCCAACTCTTTTTTCATTGACAGTGGGTCTCTGTTTGCATCAGCCTTGATCCTTGCTTCCAAAGCCTGAGGCCCAACACTGCTGGTGAAGACAGAGGTGAAGAAAGTGCTGAGAACCTCTGCCTTGTCAGAGCTGTTGGTTCTGGACTAATTCACTTCTGCTGTTTAACACCTGGCCAGTATTTTCCTTCTGTTGCTGCTTGCTGTTTATACACCTTTAGAACCATTTCTTGTAATTTTTGACATCTCTGGCCAGTTTCAAGTTTGCACTTCTGTCATGTCTTATTCTACTTCCTATGAAAAATAATATTTCTTTCTTTATTCCAGCAGCTTTATGAATATTTTGGTGCTTAGCAGTCTATGTTTATTCCTTTATTAAATCCTTTGGGTTTTGTAATCAGACAAATATGAAAGTAAGTCTGTTATCATGTATTTTGTTCCTAGTTATGTGAGGCAGGAGGGTGACAGAGAAGCCATGATGAGAAAAAAAAAAAATCAATACAAAGAATGCCAACAGGTACCTTACCTGGACAGTCACATCTATGTGATGGAACCCTTCACTGTAGTTTTGTGGGCTCCATTTCAGCACATAGAGAGGGCCAGACACCTGATGTGCATTCCCCAGGTGAACTCCATCTATGTAGACTTTGACAGAGATAATGACAGAAGGAGAGAATGCCAGAATTCTAAGGAGTAAATAAAGAGCAAAAGAAACAGATTTGTTACTGGACTTGCAGGTATGTAATGACTTCCTTAAGAAGAAGTCCCTAAAGGTAAAGCTGCCTTGTAGTAAAGAGTTCAAAAGATTTAGAAATTACAACAGTGAAATATCTGTAGGCTAATGGTAACATGGTAGGTTTTTCCTACAGTTAAAGACAAAGTAGTTCTGTATGGCACTACACAAAAGAACAGGATAGAAAACTGGATGTGGAACAGATCAAAAGGTGGCAGAAGTTGTAAGGCCTTGACAGAAATAATTTTAGAACTCTAGCTTCAAAACATCTGCTAACAGAAGTGGGATGCATCCTCCAGCACACATAGACACATAGCCAAAGATTTGCAGATGTCTTCATAAAAAATTGCCAGGCTGTCTCTCTAAAGTCCTTTGTTGTTGGAGTGGGGTTTTTTCCCTTCTTTTTTCCCCCTTTTTTTCTTTTTGCTAGTCAGAATATAACCTCTCAGAGTTTGTTACTGTCCATTTAGGACAAATGGAGTGGAATGCCAGATCTCAGATACCAACAAATGTATTGCCACCTGGCAGTAGTGCTTATATTCACAGAAACAGTGATACTAATACAGACTCAAAAATATTGTAAGTACAATTCCTTTCATTTCTGGTAATATGAATGGCATTACAGAGCATGTTTTAGTCAAATGAAGGTGTTTCATACAGTTAGGGTGAATAAATCTACCAGTTCCTATATTTAGTATAATCATAAGATTGTTCAGATAAGGTTCTGAATGGGAAACTGGAAAGTAATTAGGACATCTAGTAGGATACTGCTCCCTAACTGAAAAGTTTGTCAAACTTCTTTTTACTGTAACCCTGTGTATGCAGTATTTCAAGCAGATTAGTGTTACAGCAAATATAAAATGCTGAAAAGGGCCTAAAAATCTGAAATATAAATGTAAAAATTAAATAGATAAATAGATTAAAAGATTGAGAGATTTAAAATGAATATGAAAATTGGCAGATGCTTCTCATGTTTTAGTATATAAAGGATGTAGAATTGAAAAGACAAAGCTAAGAAGTCTGAAGTGAATAGAGAAAACATTTAGAAAAATACATAGACAAAATTCTGAAATTAGCAGAGTTGATGTGAACATGTGAGATAAATAACACAGATTACATAACAATCTATGCATATTGATTACATATTAATCTATTTTAATTATATATTAATTGATCAACTTTGGTTACATAAAGTTCGTTTGACTTTAGGGGAAATAACTGCATAATTTAACAAAACCATGAATTACTACTACCCAAACTTTTTATCACAGATATGATACAAAGCAAGCTCTCTGGAATGATCTTCCAGAGAAAAATTAATTCTGAGAACAGTAGACACATATATTAAAAAAAGGTTTTGTCTATATACATATAAATATAATTAAATATTGTGAAATCAAGACATTACAGGGTACCTGATATGAGTGGAATAAAGAATTTTGACTAGTGGTTCATGAGTAGAACTGCTGTAAAGGAAGGATTTGGGATTGGTGATGAGAACTACAGGCCACTCTTCAAAGTTGAGATCTGCGAAGCTGAGGAGGTCATGATCAAACGCAAGGATCCTGTATCTATAATGAAAGGAAAAAAATTTTGTTAATACAAACTGCTCTGTGAACAGCTGATTTCCAGCTCCTCAAGTTCCTAAAGAACCTGGCTTTATTTTCTATTTATTCTCTTCTGTAGTTGATCTTACATTCTCCAACTCTGCTATATTAACTGTACAGTTGCTTACCTCTGATGAGGTTAATTTTATTATAAATCATGGAAGCAGTACTCAAAGTTCCAAGTGTGAAGATCTATGGAATTTTGCACATGAACCAGACAGATGAACATTACATTAAAGAACTCAAATATAATGTACATTTCCATAGTGTCTGTGTAGGTACTCTAGTTCAGGACAATGACCCCAGTGTGCTCCTCCCCTGTATTCATACCTGTATCTTTCTTTGGATTACTGCAGAATAAAAGCTAATATACAACTATCCACTCCACATAGCACCAGACACTTTTGGATATGCAAGTAAGGTAACATTTCTCAGGAGGACTATTTCTGTGTCAAGAATTCTAATAGCTATTGCAGAGCATGTAGAGAAGAGAGATGCTGAATTAGTGAGAGAAGTAGTGATGCTGAATTTTACAACAATATATTTGTCTACATGTAATACTAAATACATACTATCTGGATACACATTTAGATGTCCCCTTTTTAGTTTTTAAATATCAAGAATTAATAAAAAATATTTAATTTATTAGCATACTGTTGATATGGGGAAAAATCCCAAACATACACACAAGGCCCTTTTTTCAAAAGCACTAATAATAATAATAACCAGTCAGGCTGATCTCATGCTTCTTTCAAGTGCACCACAGAGCATAAAAGAGAATCACAATACAGCAGATAGGTTTCATATAATAATTTGCTCATATGGGCTTTTCTTACCTCCTGTTATCCATCCAGTCTCCCAATTCAAGTTCCAGAGTGCCACCACGGTGTTGACTGTGCAAGACTGGCATCAGCCCACCCATTGTATGGAGATGTCCACATAAATAGGCTGTGGCAGAACTAATAAGAATTGTGATTATTTGGGTAGGAAGGAAATATCACTGCAGAAAACCTGAAAAGTGAGAGATGAGCATGTGAAGACAGACAAGAAATGTACTTCATGCTGAAAACATAGAGGGCAAGAAGACCTTACCTCATTAGTGTTCGTATTCCAGGGGATGGGGAGATGATTGTGGAGGTGGGGTAGTGGCCAAACCAGATAGTATGGTTGCTGTGTAGACTTTCTGTTGCCATCAAAGACAGCTCTGCCATTTGATTCTGAAACAGGCAGGTGACAAATCCATTTTGCTAAATAAATGTCTCACATGCATTATAACTTAAAAATGTAAACACACTTATAGAGGAACATAAATCTTTCAAATAATTTTTCTATATTTAAAAAAACCCAAACCTCCAAACAAACCACTACAGAAATAAAACAGCCAGCAAAATGGAATGCAAAGACTTATACAATACCATGTTTAAAATCCCAAAAAAATTATAGGGTCTTTTAGGGCCTGGGCTGAGTGTGGCATCCACGCAGATGAATGAATAGTTCCCAAAAGAGGTAGTGTGGATGTAATGGAAAGAGCCATCTTTATGCCAGGCAGAGTATTTCCTAACAAAACAAGATGGAAATACTGCTGTTAGGAAAGCTTGTACCCATGACAAACATGCATTGCTTTCTCTCTTTCCATTGACAACAGCAAATTTCACTATTTCTAATTAACAAATTGGGAGTGCTTTTGATACTTTATGCTAGATGGGAATTGTACATATCTTCCACTGGCAAAGACATGACATTTCAACTAATAGTACCACCTAAATCGCAATTCTGTAACTAAAATGATTGTGAGTTAATTTGAGAATCACTAAAATTCATTAAATTTAGGTTGGGTTTATTTATTTATTTATTTATTTAGGTGTTTTGAAGTGGGCCTTTTGTGTGCATTTGGGGCTTTTAAAGTTGTTTTAGTTTTGTTTTACTCCTTGCATGATTTGTGGAAACTAAAACATTCCTGAGTTCAGATGATGAGTATAATTTGAGCACAGCCATCCAGAAATCAGTTCATGTTCCTCCACCAATCAGAACAATAAAACTGCTAGAAATGTTGACCTGAATACAATACAAGCCAATATATTAAAACCAAGTTTTCAATGCTTCTAATGCTATATAACCCCTTTCAAAATATTTTTTTAAGTTAGCAGTATCTTAATGAACATAATCAACTTCAATAAAATTTCTTCATTTAGTCCCACTTTGAGTATGTATAACAGTTGATTAATCCTCTGCTAATGCTGAGAACATATAATAGGAACCTATGTTTTTGTGTAAAAATATTGTATTTCAATACAACCCATTGCCCTCTTTAATGCATAATGAACACCAGAATGTGGTATTGAATAACTGTTCTTCCTAGCTTCTATTTTTATTTCTGCAAAAAATTTTTGTAGTTTTAATATTTTAAAATATATTTATCTTTTTATATATTGAAAAAACAACTCCATTTCACTCTTCCATCTTCTTTCTCCTAGAGTGTGACTGAAAATTTTGTAGACATTGACAGATTTAACATACTCAATTACAAAACACAGAAAGGTAAGAGATAAGAAATCTGCACAAAGAATTCCCTATTTTCTCAATCGATTCTGCTTTACTAACTGACAATGCAAAAAACAGAGGGAATAGTAGATATGATCCTGGGCTAGAAGAAAGTCAGTGAAAAAGCATATATGTAATAACTGAAAACAGAGTATTGTTTAGTGAATTTGACCTTGGATATAGCTGCATCTGTATGGTAAATAAAAGTACCTGTAATAATTCTGAACACTGTCCAGGCGTGGAATGTTGAATGAATCTGTAAGGGAGTAAAAAAGGAAATAAGGAAATTTTCAGATCAGATTGATCATTGGCCCTTGTATCTAACAAGGTAATGTTGAGATAAAGCAGTCTCAGCAGGTGCTGAAGAGCTACTTTTTAAAAAATGCATGATTGACAAGCAGACTAACTGTGCAGAGGAGACATTATGTACTCAATGCAGTTAAATGGCGATAGTTTTCTCATTCAAGTTTCAATTTAAAAATAAAGGCATTGTGGGAATATAAATTGTTATTTAGCAGCCAAAAACTAAACCTGTCTCCATTTTGACCACAGAACCTTTCAAGAGCTTTTCTGGACTGGGTGCATGCTCTGTAAGTAAGACTTAATTCTTTCATGGAAAATAAGGAGCATCTCATCTAGAGAACAGCATGTGTAGAACAGACATCAGCTTGGGGAGGTCTGTACTGCAACAGCTCCACTTCTCCTAATAAATGCTGGTGACAGAAGCCTAACAGGAAAATGAGTCTGTAAGACAAAGCATGCACTTTCCCCCCTCCCAGGGCAGCTTCCTGTACAGCCTGTTTATACAGCCTACACGACTGTCAGCTTGTGTTTGAATGCCTACAGTGTGGCAACAGCTGATGGATCTAAACTCCCATGACTCCCTTCTATTCAAAAGAAACCAAATTTCCTTTAGCTGCTGGACATGTGACACCCTTTAAACTTAAACCTGTGAGGGGGAAGTCTATGAAAAGTAAATTGAAACCATTTCTTCAGTATGGTAAGATTACAGTTTGCCCCTCCATTAAATAATGTGGTATATAAAATAATGATGTGGAAACTAACCTCTGAAGTTCTACCACTTGCCAGGTAAAAGACTCTTACCTCTCTGGTACTAAAACTCACTCCAGTAAGAGCTTGTAAACAAAGTGTGTCCCCAGTAGACGTGGATAGTAAGTCCTTCTCCTAATTCATGAATACTAACACACTAGTGAGTACTAACATTTTACCTCTATATTCTGTGATCTGCAATCACAGGAAACACAGAAATGTTTCATTTTCTTCTTACCATGATTCCCTTTGATGTCTATCCACTTGGTTTTTTCCATGACCCTTGATCTCTTCAGGATTGACTGATAAGTTTTCCACTCATCTTCTACCTGCTCAGATCCCAGTTTATCTCTTGTCTTAGCATCTGTCAGATCACCTGAGAGTGTACAAAGGTGAGATATAACTAGAGGCCTACACAGCTTATACAAATACTGTAACTAGACAAGCATGCCATCCCTGCCTCCAAGTCTAAGTGGCTGCAGGCCTGGGTGCAATCTGCTTATTTCTGTATCTGGTCCACATGATCAGCGTAAATGCCTTCTAATGCAGATGCAGCAACCTCACCAGACATCTATTGACCACATCACTGCAGCACTTTCACTAATTAGATAATAACTTTCTATAGAAGCAAAACTCCAGGTCTAGCATTAAGATTCTAAAACCTTGCACACAGCAACGGCTTAAAGTTTTTTCAATTATCTTGTCAAAACTTCATCTATTTCAATAGCAAGCTGTCATATGAAGTGGCAAGGCTTATTTCACCTCTCTTGGTATGATATGTTCAAATGGAAACCAGCAATAAAATCCTACATTAATTCACAGGTGAATTTCATACAAATGAACTGGGATTGTTCTGAGGGGGGAACTGTATCTTAGTGGCTAACTACAGACATTGCTCACTTCTGTAATTTCAAACATAAAGAATACAGAATCATGACCAGAGCAAGAGGGAGGGTAGCTGACAGCAAGGGCTATGATGCAGCAACACCTACTGGGAAAACATTAGCTATCTTGTGTGATTGTGTGTGTTATGTATAGAACACACTAAACTCACTGAAGAAACTGAATGCTCAATAAAATAATAATAATTCCCTTGTTGAGAAGTTATTTTTTCCAGCTTCTAGCAGTGTCCCTTCAGCTGCAATTCAATTTCTATTACTTAAGATATGTTTAAAGTTCTCTCTTGAGATCCTACAATTTTGCCTATTTGCTGCACCTTTGACAGTCCACTCAACAGGAAATTTACACTTTTCAACTGCTTACCTGTTGCTAGAACAAGTGCTGGCTGAATTACATCAATTGTTTCTGAACAAAATTTCTCAAAGTCAGGAGCTCGTTTGGGATCCCGAAATTTGCTGATATGAATATCTGACACCTGCAAAAGAGAAGACTGAAACACTGCCCCAAGTAAAAGGGTTATTGCTACCCAGGCTGTTCTGCAAAGCCAAGTATACATTAGAATGCAACATAAGAGCAGTCACAGTGATTCGTGTCAGTGTAAGGGATACAGGGAGAAACAAAAGTGGATGACTAGGGGAGAAGGAAAGCAGAACAAGCAAATGATATTGCAACTCTAACCCCTAAAATCACATTTACATCAAGAAAATTTCCTTAAAACTAGGCGCATACAAAAGTATGAGTAAATACGTAGGTATCCACAGTAAATTGTGATGGCTGCAAGTGGCCTGTTGCCTTTCAAATTCTGGCAGTTTCTGTGCAATACAGTGGTCCTGCTGCAAGTAAGAATACAAAGCAGTTCTGCAAAGCAATAGGTTAAAGCTACCTAGAACTTGAAATGTACTGAAAATTTATTTTGTACCTGGTGTGACATTTCCAGCAGCTGAGTGAAAGGACTTTTAACATTCTATCCAAGCATTTTAATGGATCAAACAAGTGTGTTTAGATCTCATTCCATGTGCCTTCAAGAAGGCAAATATTGCCTAAGAAATGATGATATGATTTGTATGTAACTGTAGAAGATGCTGTTCATTTCTGAATCAGTGAAAGCCCTCACATCAGAAGAGACATTTGGGGAGAGTAAGAAATGTAAGATTTTTTCTATTTTTTTACATTTGTGGCTTTTCGGTACTGTACAAAAAAAAAAAAAACCCTTATGTATTGCTTCAATTCCACTTTCCATTCTACTTCAGTCAATTAATTAATTGTCCTCCTTGGTTTGAACAAATGGTATTTGATGCTCAAAAAGCAGTAAGCAAATGCTCATCTGACAGTATCACTTGGAAAGAAAAACATTAACTTTTCCATTCAGTTTAATAAACCTGTTCTCATAAAGCTTGTAGTTTTTGAAAAGTCCAGATAAAATATCTTGGAGAAAAACGATTTACTTCTACTTATTCAGTCATCTGTATATGAAGAAAATATTACTTGAACACAGTTTTTAAATTCTGCTTAGGAAAACTCCCCATTCAGAATGACATGGAATTTTTGCCTAGATCAGAACTGCATGCTAAAAAAAGCAAACACTTTTAGATATAACTTTGTCTTCACTTTCATTGATGTATTCAAACTAGTGTGAGGCAAAGAGCACAGCAAAACTACCTCGGTACATCAAACCTCATTTAATCATGGACAACAATACAATTTGTTTTGCTTCTTTTCAGCCTATGGATTTGCAATTAATTTATCTCAGCAATCAAACACAGAAAATCAAAACTTCTACAGTTTTCATTCTTGAGAAAAAACAGTCTTAAAAAAAACCTTAGCCATGCTCTAACAGTAGCTACAGCAAATGTAAATTTCCAACCTTACAGCAGAGAGTGGTTCGGAAGCCTAATTTCCTACAGTGACCTTGCCACTTTTCTTCCCAATGAGTTTAAGGTTCTTAAAAGGGTTCAACTTGTAATTTCTAAGAGTTACAGTGTCTTGGGACTTCTGAGAGCTGGGACTAAGTTTCTTTCATCATTAACAGCCATGACATATGAAGATCTCAGAAGTGGAGCTTCTTCCTTTTTTTTTTTTTTATTTTGAATTCATTTCAGTGATATCCCAGTGGATAAAGATAAAAACACAGTGGGCAAGATGAAAAGCTTGAAATGCTCTTATTTACTTTCCAAAATGTAGGTGAAAGCCCATTTGCTGCTCCTTCCCCCCCTCTGACTGATATGGATACTTGGCCTCTCATTGCTTCATAGGCAGTTACTTTCATTAAAATGGGTTGGAAGAGATTGAGGGATGAGGAGAAATCACCGTCAACATTCCTTATCTCTAGCAAAGATGTGGTTCAGGAAATGTAGGTGTTAACAAAGGAGAATTATAAGGTTAGAGCAACAGTAGAATGCTTTCAGCTGAGAGAAATGGAGAAATAATTATATGCTTGTCAAATACTGAACTAGAGTGTCTATTTGGCAGTGGGTAAGAAAGGAAATTCTGCTACAATAAAGATGGATGAGCCATTAATAGAAGATTAAAGTAGAAAGACTGTGATTTAGTTCCTTTAAGAAGAGATAGTCTTGTGTTTGGGAAGAAAAACAAGGCAGGAACTGCTGGGGGCAGAACTGACCATCTTGAGCTCTATTCAGTGACCTAGGCTAGACCTATGGAATCACCAGGGAGCCTGAAGCCTGGTTCCCATAACATCATCAGGCACAAGGCTGGATTTGGTGCTTGATTAGTTTCCAAGTTAGGTCAATGATAAAGCAGCTGTTTAAAGGGCACGTCTGAAAGAGAACATAACCACTTGAAAGTAAAGCCAAGTCTCAAATTAGCTGTGCTGTGACCTATCCTTGGGAGAACTCCACTTGAAGTGACACAACCAGAGAGAACACAGCAAGAGAAACATGGGCCTGTGCATGCTGCTTGTCAGTATAGCTCTGCAGCTGCTATACGCTGCTCTATCTGACTCTTCACACAAGACAGCAGCTCAGGACAGGGGCTTTCCTTACATTATTTCAAGCATATCTCTTAATACTTGTACTCTGAAGTAAAAATAAGCCTTAAGTCACTTAAGGAAAAATTACTGGAAAAAAAATTACACCACCAATTAGAGAGAACCAAAGGACCAAACATATGCCAGCTTGTCCACTAAGAGCACTACCTGCAGCTAATAAAGTCAGGCAAAGTGTTCTTGAGCTTGAGAATGAAAACAAAACAGTAAAAGCAGCTATTTGTTGGAAGGAAATGCACAGCAATCCCTGGGACATTTCAGCCACAGCTGAACTACGAATACGTAAACATCTTTGTGGCTAGTTGTACACCAAGTGCTTTGGGAATACTGTGGGGAGAAGAGTCAGAAGAAGCCACAGAAACCCCAAGACGAGACAATTTGCTTCCAGGACAATGCCAGGTCAACCTGGATTTTATGTTTAACCTGGAAAAAAAGCAGTGTATATTTAACCTTCTGAATACTGGCACAGTACCTTCTACTGCTATAAATCAGTAAAGCTATTTCCTTAGGCACACAACTTTTCTGAGTTTTGGGATAGGGAAAGGGACAGGCAGAGCCTGCATTTCTCCCTCCCCAGGATATTAGATAATACCACATCAGGTACTGATGCAATATATAGGGTAGTGTAATAATTAGGTGATTTTTAATTACCAACTTCCACTACACACATCTGTGTGATAAGGAAACTTCTCTGGGCAACCATCGAGGAGCCACAGCGGCAGTCACTCACACCACCTTTGACCGAGGCCCCTTCACAGCTACACCCCCCACACTCACAGTCAGACCAGGTTTCCTTGCCAGCTGTGCCCTAGGTTTCCCATAGCAGGGTCTCAGACTTCGGGATCATTAAAATAATTTAATCTTGGTGCAGTAATTAACAAAATAACAGTTTGACTTGGGTACCTCTGAGAAGGTGCCCCAAAGAAAGGAATCTCCAGGCTTTTATACCGTCACAGTCTGGGAGTCATGGGCTCCTGCTGTCTCTGAGTGTCCTGGCCGGGCCACAGGTCCCCGTGCCCGGCGCCCTCTGCCGCGTAAAGGGTCGGGCAGGTCCCGGCCTTTCGCCTCGGGCTCCCGCCCCCCGGAGCTCAGCCTGTAGCCAGCCCTGCAGCTGCACATCGAGCTACCGGCACCGAACATATTCTTCAATATGTTCAGTGCCCGCGACCTTTGGGGCAGCGTGGCCAAACGCCTGTAACCTGGGCTTGGCTGCGCGCCTCCGCCGTGCCCGCGCTCGGCGGCCCCTGGCCCCCCGGCCCCGCTCACCTGCACGACCCAGAGCAGGCTGGCGGCGGCCGCCCCTGGCGCGGGCTGCGGGGCCCAGCGGTGGCGCTGCCCCGGGGCCGGCGGCGCCCCCGGCGGCCCGTACCAGTCCAGCAGCAGCGCCACGGCGGCCGCCGCCAGCAGCCCCGCCGCCAGCCCCAGCATCGTGCGCCGCGCCGCCACCGCGCCCGCCCCGGGCGAGCCCCGCGCCGCCAGCCCCGGCACTTCCGCGTCCACCTCCCCAGCGGCCGGGCCGGGCCGCGCTCGGCCGCGCTCGGCCGCGCTCGGCTCGGAGGACCGATGCCGGCGGCGCCAGGGGTGGGCGCTCCCCTTGTGCTGGAGGTTTTGTCCGGCGAGGCCGGGGGATCCCGGCTCTGCCCCCGCTGCCTGGGCCCTGAGCGCTCCCGCTTTTCCCTCCGGCCGCAGGGTGCCTGGAAATGCCTAGCTTAAAGCAGAACGAAACCCAGGCGTACGAAGAGATCCGCGTCTCATCCTGCTTCCTTACAAATACAGCATGAAAACTTTCGCTTTTTCTCCTTACGGTATTATTATTCTGCCTGCTCGGAAATCTAGGCAGTTGACCTATTTTGCTCCTGACACAAGTCTTTTTATGGTATTTTGAATATTTTTTTATATATATGTACAACAATTTTAAACCTTTCTATAGCAAGTGCACAGTTTCATAATTGCTATTCTTTGCTATCAAGTCAGTTTACTAACTGCTGCCCATTTACTGTTGAGATTTTTTCTTCCCATCTTAAGTATGAGTTTAAGTGAAAAAGCTTCTGTCACTTTACATCACTCTTTGTTATTTAACATAATATTCTCAAACAACTTCAGGTAGTAGAAGTTTCTAATTCAATGTTGTTTAGTTGTAATTATATTTTCTCATATAATTTGTCATAGGACAAAGATTTAATTTTTAGCATTGATAATTATTAGTTTTGATTGATCAAGAAAAACATTTTTCAGATCAATTAGACTGCATTAATATAAGACACATCTTTTTAGATGTTCTTCATAATTTAGTTACTCTTTTGCAGGACTTCATGTATGTTTGCTTTGGTTTTTTTCAGCTGCCTTTCATCTTGCTTGTGTACTCTTCCCTCCAAAAAAACACCCTGAAGAAATATTTGTAAATAAACATCAATCAGCAACCCTGGTAATCTTCAAGAGTAATCTTGAGAACTGGGGCTTGCTCACTGTCTTCCATTTATTTTATCTCCACCATTTTATTTTAGCTCTAGCAAGGCTGTCAAGCATTTTGTCTGTATTAAAATTGATCTGAATTCCTGTTTTGTTCTTCTTCTTTCCTCTATTACTGTAGTATCCATGGAGATCTTGTTGTTTTGTACCATTTCTGCCTGGCCAGTTTGGTTTTTTAAGACGTTTGCTGACACTTTCTTTGCTCTCAGTGCATGTAGGTTCCAATTTTTTTTTAATAATAATTTTTAAAAAAACATCTAACAGTAAGTCTTGTTCAATTTAAGCAGTTGATTTACATTAGCATAACTTCTAAAAGACCCACAGTAAAGCAAACCCACACTGACAGTTAGCTAAAAGAGGTGGCCAGGCAAGCTGCTTGCCTTGCAGCACGGGGGGCTGCAGGGAGCCCTCCTGCTGCCTGACTGGGTTTGTAGCTGTCCTGGAATTCTTCCTTGCTTCTCTTGCTCGACTACCTTGGAAGCTGGATTATAAATTGCTAGTGTTGAAGCCAAAACAGGTGGAGGACTCCAGTAATTACAGTCCAAACAAGGTTGTTGTGCAAACAACACTTCTGGTTAGCAGGCAGCCATGCTACTGAAAAGAAGTGGGTACAGATCAGCAATACAGACAGTCAGAACAAGATGAAATTGTTAATTATCTCATGGCAAAATTCACTTAGTATTTTTTACACCTCATACTTAAACCTGTCTCAGTGATGGTGATTTTAAGTGACAGATTTCAGTAATATAAAAAAGTTTGCAGGACTTCTTAATATGAAGATGACTGGTAGCTATGGCAGAGGAACTACATTCAGATGTTCTGAAGATATAAGAGAAGAACTTTGAGAGTACCTGTAGCTGTGTGCAGTGCAAAAAATTATTGAATATACCTGAAAAAGGTTACCTGTAAACTTTATCCCATCCATACTGATAACTAAAGAAAGTCGCAAAACTGCTTGGAGGCTTGAAACAGAAAGACTACAGTGGGAAGAGGCAGTCTTCCCAATACCCAAGATATCAGGCATTTGATATGGACCTCAAGATCCAATGCTATGGCTATTTGTCTATTTCCTCGGCCTTAGGAAGGTGCAAACATAGGGAATTGTGGAACTGGACTGCAACAATCTGGAAAACTTCCAGCAATGCATAGGCCGTGTTTGTCACCTATCAATCGAGATCCTAAATGCCCTAATCTGCCAAATCTGCTAAACACCCAGAACAGTTATGATATGCTGTTGGAAGGAGGTGCGGAGGAAAAATTTTGATCTTGGAGATCTTTTGGTCTTTAGGCATTTGCCTAAAGCTACTGTTGCCTCCTACACCAAGTTAATAAAATTTTCCCTTTGCTTAGCCCATATGGGAGCCACATGGAAGTGGTGTGACTTTGCACCTGTGTAGATGAAATTACTTGTGCTATTATCTTGCTAGCAATAAGATGAGGGGACATAGTCCCCTGCACCACGGGAGGTTTAGGTTAGACATTGCAAAGAATTTCTTCACCGAAACAGTGATTAAACATTGGAATGGGCTGTCCAGGGAGGTGGAGTCAGTGTCCCTGGAAATGGTTAAGGAAAAAGTGGACGTGACACCCAGTAACACGGGCTGGATGATGAGGTGGTGATCGGTCGTAGCTTGGATTCGATGATCTCAATGGTCTTTTCCAACCTAATCGATTCTGTGACTCTGTGACTCCGTGATGCAGGGCGCGAAGTGCACACGCAGACGGTACAGTTCAAGGGCCTGCACAGGAGCCCCACCGCGTAGCTCAGCGCACAGCCCCCACAGGAGCTTCGCGCGCCGGCCATTCCGCGCGGCGCCGGCCAGGCCCTGCTGGGCCTCCCGCAGGAGGCGCTACCGAGGCCCCGCGCGGCGGCGGCTGCGCGCGGGGCGGGCCCTGGGCTGCGGGCGCAGCGCCCGGTGACGGCGCCGGCTCCTTCCGGGCCGTGACGGCGCCGCCGGCCGCGTCCCTCGCTCTCAAAATGGCGGACGGAGCCGACAGAAGTCCCGTGGCGAGAGCGGCGGGCGGCCGGGCCCCCGCGCAAGCCCCGGAGCGAGCTATGGTGAGGCTGCAGACCGGCGCCGCGCCGCGGTTCCCTTTGCCCGCCCTCGGGAGAAGCCCGTGCCCTCCCCGCGCTGCCGCCCCGCCGCTCGGCCGACCCGGGCTGGCTCTCCGCGGCTGCCGAGTTGCGCCATGGAGGGCCGGGACGCGCCGCTCCGCACCGCCGGAGCCAGCGGGAGGGGGCGGCTCCAGCCGGGCACGGCTTGGGCGTTGGGGCCGGAGCGGGCGGCCCGGTGCCCCCGTGCCGGCGGCGGGCGCGGCTGCGCACCCGCTCCCGGCGGCCTGCGCTGGCTGCGGCTCCGGGGCTCGCCGCCTCTGCCCCGGGAACGGGGAGCCAGCTGTCACGGGCCCACGGGGACGCGGTTTGGCTCAGTTCCCCGCTGCATCTCTCAGCCCCTGTCCCGGGTCTTCAGTTGCGCTTAATGGCGGAATTGAATGAGATCAAACTTTGGAAAGCTTCAGAGACTGTCCTTTAAACCTTGTAGTGTATATGCGCATTTTAACCATAGTCCTTTACCTTTCTTAATTAAAGGTGACTCCACTGTGGAACAAAAAAGGCTGAATGACAAATTATTGTGTGGAGCAACAAATAGTATAATTTAGAAAGAACATAGGAAACAGCTGTTTGTTGAACAGAAATATTGCTTCTTTTTTCGTTCTGCGAAATAATTGTATATGGATTTCGTACTTTGTTATTGAACACAATTTGCTGTTGACTCTGTCTAGTGGTAGCACATAAGTGCCTTCTGTGGTTTCCTCCACAAACTTGTGTAGTGATTACTATGTTTGAAATACTTTATCAGAAGGAGTTTAAAACCCAAAGGCTGAGAACTTAAGAAAGGTAGGCAGATGGATGTGTATGAGGCACTTTATATTTTGTGTTTTATTTTCTGTAACAGTCTGCACACATAGTATAGTTTTGAAACTGTTGACTGCTGGTGTTCAAAAGTTGGGTGCTGGCAAGCCTGTAGAATGGCTACTTTTTATGATGCTACACACCACTAATAAAAGTAGAAAGCTGTTTGCTCATGGAACTTGTCTTACATATGGCAGCACTAAGCCAACAACCATTATTCCCTGTACCCTTCTCAGAATTTTAAGTATCTGCGAATCATTAGAAATGGCCCTTTAGTCACAGACTTCATTCTGAAGTGCTGGATATTTCTGTAACTGAAACAGGCCTATGTGTGGATTTTTTTTTTTTTTTTGTAAATCAGGAACAACTTAATTTTAAACTCGGAAAAATGTGATTTGACTGCATAGTGTCAAAAATTGCAGCCTAAGACAGGCGAGTTCTTAAGCTTGTGAGCTGTGCCTAAAGTCAGTGGTACTGAGGGTAGCAGAGGCAATCAGCAGCAAAGTAATGCAATCAACCTTCATTAATTGGGGACATCAGAGGCTGAGTTAGCCCAAGCAATCCATACAGCTGGTAATAGTGGTATTTGGAAAAACGAGGAGAGAGTTGTTGAAGCGATCCTTAGCTGCTCAAAGGTGATGCTGGTGCACTAAGTTGTCTTACTTTTTATGTGATTTCAGCCAGTTGAAAATGTCTGGACCAGAATTATCATTCCAATGAAGGTAGCTGGCCATCCAGACTGTGTTGCCTGCCATACATCCAAGCAAAATGCAGGGATTTGACAGGGAGCAGGGGCTGAGGGTATGTTATAAAAAGGGAGAAGAAGAGCCTGAGATGGGTACTTAGGTTGTGTCTGAGAGTGTTTGTGATGTCAGATAGCAAACCTGGCTATAGTGATGCTGGAGACTGCTGTAATCTGGAAGCAGTATCCCCAATTTATTGCTGTCCTAAAGATGGTGCTAAGCAGCTAGAACTAATATATCCTGCCTGACTTGTGCTTTCCCTGTACAGAACTGTTCTGAAAGTCACTGTGGTGCTAGAATTGGACAGTGGTGTGGAGTGGAAAGAACTGGTTAAATAGAGTGAGTTTTGGCTTGTCAAACTGAACTTGTCAAATCTGTCTGAATGTCTGAGCAGTCAGACAGACTCTGGCTCCTCTGTTCATCTCTGGCTTTGGGTGCTGTTGGCTGCAGTGCAGCACCACGTGTGGCTGCAAGCCTTCCCAGAATGCTGGGTGCATGATGCAGGATTACCTGAATGATTCTGCAGAAGCCAGCCTGATTCTGGAATGGATGGTGATGGCTCGGGTAGTAAACTCTTCTGCACCCAGCCCGAGTCAGTGGTGTCTTCTCTGCATTTGCCTCCAGCACTTCAGGTTGGGTGACTGTGGGTGAAAATACTTAACTTGGTGTTTCACTGCTTTAGTTGGAATTCAGGTCCTGTCTGGGCTTCTGCTTCTCCATAGTGGCTGTATTGCTTTCTGAGCTGCCCTGGAGGAAAGTGGGCTGAATTTAATGCTAATTAAGTAGTTACTCTTGTCTACCAAACTTGGGTTTACTTTCTTTCCTTTCCCAACAGCATCCACAGTTTAGATGGCTGATGGGCTGGACTTGGCTTGTCCAGTAGTTGGCTAGCAGGCATTGCTGGTGGCTTGACAAAAGCCTGCTTTGCAGGCTGGATCTTGCCCTTGGTTGGTTGTCCATTTGTATTCTAAACAAATTCTGGTTTGACTCCTGCCTGCTTTTGTGTCTGCTACCTGGAGCAGAGCCTTGATATTAAGCTATTTGAAGGATTTTAAATTTACACTGAATCCTCAAATGTTCATGTGCGTGTACCTTCTCAGTAATATTTGCAAAGAAAAGGGGTTTTTTTAAAAGGTTCTTTCTTTTGCCATCAGTCAGAACTCGTAACAAAAGGTGAGATGTAAGTGGTGCACAAGAAGAGAAAAGCTTTATCTATTAGGATATTTCCTTTAAAGACAGGAAAATTCCAAATTTCAGTTTCATAATGTAAATCACGATATAGGCACTTGTGCATTTTAATGTATTTCAGATCTCTTGTGTCATTCAGTACTGTTAGATAGTTGAGAAAATGTATATGAGGACTCCTGCTACCCTGGATGTGTCCTAATCAAGCAGTAATATGGAGGGGATATTCATATTCATGTGCAGGTTGTTTCTTGAAATTAGTGAAATCTGAGTCAGGCCTCTTATTTGGAGTTGCAGTGTCTTCTAAACTGAATTAACCTGCTTAGACCAGATGACATGTCCATATAATTTTACTTTGCTAAGCCAAATTTGTTTAAAACTTTGTTTTAGGTAAGCCATCATATCCTTTATCTAAGCCCTGAAATGCACATGGTCAAAGCTGCTGTATTTAGAGCCGTGCAGCATATTGGCAGAACAGTGTTTACTGTACACTTGTGTCAGTATCCAAGGAGTGGAGCTGTGAAAGTTGCAGCAGGTAACTGGAGCATGGCCCAGGTCCTGTTTGCATCCCTATATGTTTACTGAAGTTCTTTCACATTGTTACAGCATCTGGTAGTGCTGTGGTTTTTTCTTTCCTGTCTACTTACACTTGGTAATGTTTGTGACTTTTGTTACTGCAGGGGTGAACTGATTGTAAGGGTGGTATCTGTTATCTTTGCTTGAATCCACATAAAGTGCACAACATATGGTTGCTCTAGTCCCATTACAGTATTGCAGTTGTGAGAGGTATGTGGCTTCAGGAGAAAGCAGTGGATATTCCTGATAGCATGTAACTGTTTCAGTGTCTCCTAGATGTCACAGCAGCAGAGAAGTTGGGAATAAACAGGTTCTTGTATAAGGGAAAGTGTTTGAGGGATGGTGAGTGAGTGCTAAATATGGATAGAATCACCTGAATATTTCTGCACATTCCTTCACTGCAGAATTAGTGTGTGCAGTGGACCTTAAAAATGATGGTAAATGGAAAATAAGTGTGAATACACAGAGAATTAAAAAAAAGCAGTGGTGTTGTTTTCTACCCCCTGCACCCCTCAATCCTTCCATCAATGAATTACTTCTTTGTAAATATTCACTGTAGTTGTGCGTTTTGAAGTGCAGCCTGGTGCTTGCTGAAACGTTTCATGGATGTTGTTCCTTCAAATGTAGGAGACCACAGGATGGATGTTAAGGATCAAAGAAAGAATAAAAGTATTTCCTTTGTTTCTCTAGAAACAAAATTAAAATTATGTCAAATAAGTAGTCAGAACTTCAAATTCAATTTCAAAGTCTCACAAAATAAGTAACTCTGGAAAGATGATTTTGTTATTTTTAGAGGGAGAATAACTTGTCCCCCAAAATATTTTGCATATTGTTTTGGCTTATGGTGTGGTACTAAATTTCTGCTTCCTCTGGTGTTAATTGTATGTTGCTATCTATCAAATGCAGGTTTCACAAAAAAACTTGGAACATAAAAAGGTGATTAGATTGCATGTCCCAAAGACTTAAAAATTAGTTCCAGGTTTCCTGGCTATTTTTCCTGTTGAAACTACTTAGTAGTAGTATCCTGCTAATTTTGCAGCATATTTAGGCTGGAGTATCCATTTGGTAGGGAGGTACAATAGAGATACCTCCAGCACGGTGGAGTGAGCTACAAGCCATGATTTGACTCCAGTTGTCTCCTTGGGCAGCAGATTGCTTTCAGGTGCTTCCTCCCATGAGCTGCAGCTGTGCTCTTGGGTTTTGAAGGTGCCTGTGATTTAAAAGTGACCTGTAGTTTCCAAGAAGTTGAGCAGCTTAGGTCTGTGTGTTGTTTACTCTGAAGAAGACCTTAGTTTTAGCTGTCCAGCAGCTGAAACAGTAGCAGATGGTGCTGGTGGTTGCTTGTCCTTCTCTGGTGGTCACCCATTTGCTCTGGCTCAGCTCAGCGCTGGTGGCTGCTGGAATCGAGGTAGGTTGTGCTCTAGACAAAGCTTTAGTAATCTGTGCTGGTTTTGAGTCTCATTCCAAGAGGGCAAACACCTGCATCATTAAAGCATCTTTAGGCATGAATTGGCAGCCTGCTTTGGCTCAGGGGCCAAAGTTAAATGACTGAAAAGATCAAAAAGTTCTTTTATGTCTTCAGGTCGAAGTTGATGTTTTGTTAGGACAACGTTAGACAGTCTTGAACGTTACTCGTGTTGT